TTCGTACGTCAATCGTTCCGATACTCGCCTCCCATTTCTTCATGTATCTGTGTCGGCGGTACGGTAAATACTTTTGGAAAAATGTGAGAGTATAGATAAGAAGAATCAAGACGACCGACTGGTATGTCGGCCGGCTCATGGCTGGGGTGCTGCGAGCAGATGATATATGATCAGCTTGATCTAAGGACCTGCCGTCCTAACCATGCTGTCTAGGTTCTCTCAGCTAAGCTTTAATATTTCGGATATTTTCGCCGCACTCAGTATATTCTTTCCGCCTCTGCTATTGTTTCCTCTCCGCTCTTCCTCGTGTACAATGCCTGCCTGTAGAGGATATCTGCTACGGACACGGCACCTCATAGCTTGCTAAATCTCCGTTAGAAACTAGATTCCTCTGCGTATCCGTCCTCCTCCCAGTCATTGGGCTATTTTCAACAAGAGTCCTTTCACAGGGGATATCCGAGGTTTTGAAAGTCGACTGTTCCCACCTGCCATCTGATTGGACTTCTTCTCTCGATCACGATCTCGGATACATAGCTATATCGGCTGATTCTCGCTACATCTCAAGAGAGAATAGCTAACTATGGGCGGAAGAGTGAGCATCTTGGCTGGAGGTCGGTATGCTGGAGACGCTAGTGTACACATGGATACGCTGCCGCTGCATTCACGGTGCACGCCAACCGATGATACATGCGTAATAGTTGAATTGAATATTCACTTGCAACGAGTTGCTGTTGTTTCTGTTGATGAATCGTTGAGTGAGCTGAACGTCTCGACACGCTACGTTCTACCCGCTTCTCGCAGCGACGCGGCGTCAATATTCCTCCTCGATCGACTGAGTCGTTTCTGTCACGAAGAGATTTTTCGGCTTCGTCCTCTGATTGCTCCGGGCTTTTCCGACCACAATTTCCTCCCCTCCATTGCCAAGGCTTTGCAGCCGGCCTGAGGTCCGAGCCGAGGCCTCGCGCTGGTGACTTTTGAGCCGACGCGAACTTCCGATATCTTCCATTAAGTTCTCATTCAACGTCTACGCCTGACCTAGTATACGCTTTGTAGAAACAAACGATTCGTCTCCGTAGAAAGCGCTCAGCACCAAACATAGAGTGTCCGAAGTCAGGTAGCGGAAACTCCGTTATGCTCCCGCTTAGAGGATCCGCTGTTCCGGATCGGTTTCCGCAACTCCGAGTGTCCCGGGCGTGGGGCATCACCCATGGTGAATATATCTATTCTCGGGAGTCCCATCCGTCAGGATCGAAATCATCATTCTCGCGCATAGCATGTGATCATTAGTACTTAATTATGGAAGTCATTATCTGCAGCTGATACGACCTTTTTGTGGGTGTGTACAATGACAGTAAGGAGACCATAATCCATGACGTAAGGAGAAACCGGAGACATGCAACTAATCAGGATTGTCGGCCCATTCATACCCGATCGGATCTCTGCTAATAGGTGGGAAACCTCCCGTGGTTGACGGCACTCGATGTCGTTATTTCCTACCCCGCTGCTCTCTCTGCCTGTTTCGGTAGACCAAGAGCCATTCCCTCCTGCTCAACAGCGATGTTGAGCTGTATGGAAACCAACCTCAAGGATCGTCCACTTGCCTGGACCAGTAGCTCGGCTGCCAGACCGACTCGTTCTCCAATCGTATCACAGCTCCTGGAAATGCTACCTATGCACTCTGCATCTAGCCTATTTTCACTCAGAAGAGAAGAAGCCGAGATCAGGATGAGGGAATGGCTCAAGCTAAGGTCGACCGATGTATCTCAAGGAGCTCCCGAATAACAGTTGGGAAGATTTCAGGGTAGAATACGAGTACATCCCTCATTTATATTCGCCAGACCATCCAAACTATTCCCAAATAATAAGCATCTAGCTTGTGATCGAACCGCTGGCTGCGACATTGAGGACTGCTGACTCAGGCAGATTCAGCGGTCTACGAATCCGTCGGCAGGTTGTGACTTGTGACTGCCCGTCTGTTTGTTGAAGGAGAATGAATTCCGACCTGTCTGTTTTTGTTTCCCCGAAGACTCTTCAACTCTCCACCCTCGGAAAATGCGTCACCGACTCAAGTTTTGCGTGGCCGACTCCGTCGGAACTCGAATTCCGAGAACCGAGACTTCGAATGAGAGAATTGAGAGAGAAGAAGAAGGAAATACAGACATTCGAACGAAAGCGACGACGGCAAAGTATTCTTTAGAGGACCCTGGACAAGGTAGATCAATGTGTGCCGGAGTTGAGAGCAATATCTTGGATCTACAAAAAAGATTTGTTTCTTGATCGCGGGGCAGCGTACAGCGGTATGCAACCTGGCCGCGCTGCGATCAACAAAATAGGAGAGACGAACTAAAATAAGGAAACGGAACATAGAATTGAAGTTCTGAATTTATTCCGAGCGAGTAATAGCGGGAGAACGATACTGACTCAAGAACGAAGTCCCGGAGTCAGAGAGTAGTCTCTCGATCAGGAGTTTCCATCAGTGTGCATTACGCATCGCGAACAACGAAGAGTTAAAAGAGAATAACGAAAACTCGAATCGCGAGAAAAAATGACATCATCAACAGTTCAAGTACATAATTATAATTAGCGTACGCTAGCGGAGGTGGAGGAGAAGTCCACGTTTTGGAGTATCCGGAGCCCACTTCGAAAACGAGAGGGAGCTTCTGCTCGGGGAATTTCGCTGAATCTACGAATATTCCCCGTGAGGCGTATCCTAGGACGCACACGGCAAATGGCGGCTCTGCAATCGTAATTATCCATTCCAATATCGTCCAGCGAATCCGGCGTCATTCGTTCTGAACCCTCTCCGATGAGCAATTAGACATAAGCCGAATAGTATTTACAAAAAGGAAATATCGATTCACAGCGCCGATGACACGGGACGCTACTCCTCGGAGAGACCATCCTTGACTTGAAACTCGCAGTATTCAGTTGTCGTTGCGAGCATGTGTCTTGTTACCGGGTCATGAGACGATTCTGACTCACGGATATCATGTCAGGTGAAACGGAAATGCAAAAGCAATTTGGAGCTCGGAATCACTCCCTAACAACAAAAGGAAAAATGAGCATGAACGGGGGAAAACTTCAAACAATCCTTTCGCTCCTGCGGACTTGCGTACCTTGCCGATTTCCGGACAAGCCGCTCCGTGAATTGACTACGCCGATCGGGTTTACCGCTCAAACGTGGATTGTCCCGATGTATGTACTACATTCGTAATATAGGGTCACAGTGGGGGATCTCAAATGGAACTCCGAGGAGGACATATATGTATATCCGCAAACATCGCTCTAATGAAAGACGAGAAACCGAAGCAACGCAAAGGAATAAATGCATCTACGAAACCAACTTGGCCCTCACGCACGAGACTGGAGAAAGGACAGCGAAGTCTTTGCAGCATCATGCACATCCGGTCACATCTCGTGATCGTTCGCAGGATTCTGCTGCTCGATTGATTGGTTGCTTCGGTAGTGTGCTGACGCTCTCTTAACGGTTAGTATCACGGTCGACGTCTAACAGGAACCCCATCTCTTTATCGATTGATCGCGGACTGCGCCGCTAGATTCCAGTAGATAACTTTGAATGCGTGTGTTTTTGTATTCCATGTGAGTCAGTGTGAGGGGCCACAACGGAAATAAATATCAGTGACTGTACCGGGAGGCGATAAGACTGGACGTCGGAAGACCAAAGAAATAAATTTTCGGCACGGAAGAATGCATCATGTCTTTCTCCAATATCGTTCCTTATCCAGCACAATGTAAAACTTTTCTCGCCACAAGAGAAGAGAACCGAACAAAATAATTTTTATGATTATGATCATGACATTAATTAATCTACCCCCTCATATTATAACAAGATATCGACATGTGAGAGAAAATATTCTCGATATAATCATGCTATGAGTCAGGATCACGGGCTTGCATTCATCAACCGGGTAGCTATTGGAAGGAGTTGTGTCAATTAGTTGGCCTTTCAGCGCTGATCGGCGACACATTGGTGGAGACCTAGGTGGAAAATCAGGGCAATGAACTGTATTCCGGTCGGGATCAGGAAGCTCCGATCGAAGATAACCAGAATCGGATTCCACCCCCGCAGACAAGGAGGAAGGCTGTCGCGTTCAGAAAAAACCGACGAGGTAGAAGTCACGTTTGACAGTGTTTGAGAGGTACCACAGAGTCAACGAGATCAGAAAGGCAGCATCTGTCGCCAGCGTCACAGGAGAGAGCAATTATCGGAAGCCCGACAAAACGACGACGAACTGATTGACTTTGCGATCCTCCCACCACCCCTCAGACGTCCGCAAAGCGACCCACCCACCTCCTCCAATCTGCTAGCGCAACAGCCTCCCCGGTCAACAGCTTCATTACGACGTCTACTACAACTACTATCATTGTCGTTGTCAACGCCAGCGTTATCGGCATCATTATTATGAATCGAATGAATCGTAATTGATTTGATTTGCCAACAAGGTTGGCTGGATCACCGCGCGGTCTCGTCTCGCCAGCGCTCCGTCTGTGCCTCGTCGGGCTCGACTCTCCGATGATGCTAACACATCAGGATTCCATGAAGAGTCTCGTATCTTGTGCTCGGCAGCCACACCGGACACATCGTGATCCGAATAACGGAACGAGTCACCGTTCCCTCGCACTGGATTCAGCTCGTACGACTTCACAGATTTTTCTGACGCAGTTCTAGTCTGAATGTTCGCACCGGGCGCAGACGAAGACTGGATTCGATCGGGGCAATCAGATGGAAGAGCTTCAATCAATCGTCGATCAGCGGTTGAAGCATTCGTTCGATCAGCGTTCAAGTGCTCACTCAATCAATCGATCACTCACTCACAAGTACATACATCCATTCAACGGTTCAAGTAATCTTTCATACACTCGTCAATGCGTCCATTATTTCGATCTGTCGATTTACCGAGCGTCAATCAGGCGTTCTGCGCTTCAGTCAATCTCAAATGATCAGTCTCGATACTACTATATGCCTGGTTTATATGGCTCTATGGCTGAACTCCACTATCTGTGCCGGTGCCTGCGCTTTGCGCGGACTGTAAGCTCGACATCGATCCCTTATAGTCGGTAGAATTTATAAGTTCGCAGTAATACATTACTTTGGACTTTGGGCTGCCGAAATCGAAGTAGTCCCCTCCGCTTCCCCCGGCGCGTTTCCATTGCAGTACGTAGGATCCCGGCTGCGAGGTTATGTACGATCCCTGTACACTTTCGCCGTCGCAACACTTGATCGGCTGCTCGATGACGTGGTAGTCTTTGCCCGCGACCCAGTCTTTGGGCAGTAACGTCACAGCCGCCTCGAGCTGCAGGTTTTGTAGGAGCGGGAGGGGTGATTGTGGGCCACCCGTCGGAGAGGTGAGCTCTTCGGTCTCTATACTGGCTGAGCGACTTTTTACGCCTGACGGAGGTATGCCGATGACAGCTGGTTTTATGCTTTTCAGCGGGCATCGGAAAACAGCGAACGTGACGTCCTGTTTTATGACATCGAAATCCCAGCAAAGCACACTTTGTGCGTCCTCAACCTCGATGACGACCTCGTGCACCTGATTTTTGACTAGGGACACCGAATGGTACATGCTATCGTAGAATATCGATTCACCGGCCCATTCGGCTTTTTCTCGTTCGTATTCTTCTTCGGTCATGTAGAACGACTTGGGTACGAGGCCGCCTTCTGCAATCGACACTGTGCACTGCCCACCCAGGAAATCCGGGATGTGTTTCTGATCGATGTAGTCGGAGATCCCCTCACCCTGAGGGCCAACGAATATGAATTTTGCTCTCGTGTTCTCGTTGATGAACGTGCTCACTAGGGTCCACAGGATGGGGAAGACTCGTGGCGCCCGGGTGACCAGGCAGCGGCCCATCGTCTCAGGATAATTGGCTTCTACGACTTCGATTATATGCAGCAGGGTCTTGATTCCAGGTCTCCACAAGTGACGCATGTTGAGGCCCTCAAGGTCCAGGAGGCACGTCCACGACCGAATCGGTCTGCCGTGTCTGCGCGTCGCCTCCTCTGTCAGCTGAAGACCCTGTTCGCAGATGTGTAGCACCAGTTTCATCACGCCTTCCTGTCCAATAGACTTGATGAAGCCCTTGATGTCGATCTGGCCTAATCTAAAAACGTACATCGGCCGGCCGTCTTTATCACTATGATGCCAAGCACCCGGCAAATACTCCTTGACGATTTTCGGAATCTGGTAGTTCTGGAGAATTTTGTCAACGGCGTACTTCTTCCGCCAGACCAACGACTCGCACAGCATTTCGCGGGCTTTCTCCTGATTGAAGTCTCGTGCTTTCAGGAAACGGATCAACATCTCGTCCGACGGTACTTTGCCTTGGTGACTCTCCGCCATCCACTTTTTGAGCATGACCAGATTCGATTCTTGAAATGGAGTCAGATGGCCTAAGCATTTCTCTATGTAATCCGAATCTAACTTCATGTGAGGGTCTGACTCTATATCTTTTAGGACCGAATGCTCGCGCTCGAGCGGAAGGTGCTTCCGGATGGCTGGGTCGTCGGACTTTTTCCTCGACAGGCATTCCTTCTCGACTTGACTTTGTTTGTTGTTCGATGATGATGTATCGACTCCACCGCTGCTCTCTTTGATCGCGCTTCCGTTACTCTTTTCAACGGGATTAGTGGTGCTGTTCGTTTCTCCGGTTCCACCGTCAGCACACGGATCAATCCATCTGTCAACCTGGGTGATTCCTTCGTTTTTGAGCTCCCTGATGTAGTACTCGATTATCTCCTTGCCTTTCGCGATGTCGGCCGAGTACTGTTTGATAGCGATCTTCTCCACGGTGGCTTCGAATCCGTAGAAAGATTTGACGTCGAGACTGGCGCTCTGTTCGTAGCTCGTCCAGTTGGGGTTGTCCGGGTGCACCGAATACGTACAGTATTCTTTGATGCTGACACGGCCGGAGAACGACTCGTTCCAGGCCTCGATCTTGAGAACTTTATTCCGCCGATCCAAGATGTTCTGTTGGATGAACAGCATGTGATCGACACCGACGATCTTCTTGAGCAGATACGGCGCCTCGATATTGAGTCGACATCGGCGCTGAATTTTCCGAATCGCCCCGTCTGGTGACTCTTCTTCTAAGATGATGTCACAACCAAGAAGAATGGGGATCATGGGACAGGTCGGAAAGCGTCGCTCGTAGGCAGCCATCACCAGCTCGAATGGGTATTTGTACACCCGCACAGGGCCTTGGTATTCCTGCACCATGATGGTTGAAAGCTGTCGGCCTGCCTGCCCTCCTGCCTGTTTGCTTGTAAGGTTGGCTGGCTGGCGGCTCTTGCGACGGCTGGCTGGCTGGCGAGCGAGCGGGATGGCAGGCGCTGTTGGTCAGAACATGCAGGCTTCGATTATTGTCATTACACACCAATTTTGTCGAGACACACACCTCACTGCACTCCGTAGCACATCTTGCTCACAACTGAGGTCAAGCTTCTTAGGCCCAAGGCAACCCCTGGCCAGACATTTTTATGGACGCACTCAGTCAACAGCCCAAAGTGGAAAGGGCAATAGGGCCTTTTTCAACGATGGCCACTCGACCGGAGCGCTTCACGAAGTGGATGAAGCGCGTGATCAACCTCCATAGCTCTCTGCTCGAAATCTCGTCCCGGAAAGAGACTATAAAGGGCCTTAGCTTGATTTTCAAGTGGATATGGGCTGTCCCCGTTTCGAAATCGTTCCCCGTCGATGTTTTGGTGCCACGCGCGAAATTCAAAAAAGTCGACCAGGCGCAAGTCTCGCGAACTCGTGTCAAATTGTGAGGAATAGTGAGTTCCGAATCCGAACGGATTTTTCTGGAAGGAGTTAGGTTCGAGTGGCCTTTGGGCCCTCCCGATAGGCTGCTGGAAGCTTCGGTCAGTTCGGAATCGACCCCTCTTCGATGAGGCAAACTTCATCGCTTCAGATTCGAGACTGATTCACTTGGAATCGTTGGAATGCCTGGATGATTCCACGAACCATTGAGAGACACCAGATCCATGGCTCTATTTTCCGAAGCATTTCTTTCACCGGAAAACTCTTAAGAAGAATCACCCTAGTCAGTACTCTTTATTGAGACAAAACAGCTCCATAAGATCCAAGAATAGAGCTGATCGTCCATAGTCCATAGGATCGCGTTATCCTGCGGGTGCCGACGGAAGGGGAGGATCAGCGAGCGCCCAGCTGTGTGGATGCCGCAGAGAACCAGTTGGCCTTACACCAGAATCCGATTAGACATTGGAATCTCTTCTTCCACGTGTCCCTTGGCAGCTTGGCAGGGAATCATTCGGAGATCTCTCAGCGTCGATCATGGCGACACCGACCGCTGCCACTTATACCGAGTTTCAGCTCAAGACTGACCGGCGCAAGTGTGCGAGCGTTGCGTTCGCCCAAGTGTCTCCATCCGACTGTCACACAGGGCGAGCCTGGAGTGAGAGACAGCCGGCGGATGCTCGCTAGAAGATTATATCAGCACGTTCGGCCAACTCGAAGAGACGACCGAAAGCGGCAGCGGTAGGAACCGCTCGAACACGTTAGCTAAGCGAGACAGCTACTTGAAGTCTAACCGGAATTGGTGGAGAAAAGATTACGCCACTCCCTGCTGAATTCCGCGCAATTCCGACATAGACCGTAAGAGTCTACCGTTTTCAATACCTCCATTCATTCTTAAGCGGGTTGGAGCTCAGGCTCCCGAGTTCCTGTCGTAGAGGATCTGACAGCCCGAATGAATGATACCAGGTGAAGATCTCCACAGCAGGCTCATGATTTGCAGGGCAGAATCGAATCTGCCGTGAGTCGAGTGGCATCCTAATCGGATTGAGACGTCGCGGAATCTCTTGACGCGATTGATTATCCGTGCGGGCACGATGCTTGCGCGGCTTGCCCTGATATTTCGCTCGTTGCTTTTGTTTTTGTCCCTCCTTGTCAACAGTGACTTCGACACGAGACTCGTTATCAGCTCGAGGTATCTCGTATCCCTGGCGAGATTCAACGATTAGGATATCCTCTTCTGCCCGTCGGAATGCGATCGAGGCTGCTCCCATGGACTCTCACGAGTCACTCCGATCGATACGGAACCGGGACGACGCAAGCAATCATCATCGAATCGGGGAATTCAATTTGAATTCGGTTGCTGCGGAGTCTCTCATTAAATGTCCGCGCAGAGATTCGGAAACCCAACCGCGGAGAAAACCGACCGCGTCTAGTGTTCAGAACGACGATACACGGAGAAATGTTCCAAACGACCTCGTGTACGCTCGTGTGGCTCCCGTAGTCAGGTTTGAAGTCTATTTTCTCTCATGCTGCGTTTTACGGAGCCCGCTTGCAAGAAGAGCCTTCAGCGGAGGGAGCTCGGATTCCGGGCACCGCACAGTGATTAACTCATGCTTTTCCATTTCCAGAGACTTCAGTGAAGCGTGCGGCGAATTTTTTCAGCGACCATGGCTTCCGATACCAAGGCCGTCCCCACCGGAGAAAATCAAACCGAAATCGAAGCGACCGTCGTCTCGGGCTTGGAGTCGATGGCTCGGGAGGAGATTCGAGAGAAATTCGGAGTCCGAGCGGAAATCTGTCGTGGGAGGGTGTGGTTCCTGCTACCTGCTGACAGGGTCAAAGAGGTGGGTGAGGGCGCTACAAGGTAGTTCGATCTGAATCAACGACAACCCCAATTTATTCTCATCTTTCCTCGGAGCCGTTGTCGATCAGTGGATCGAAGACCCTGAAACGAGACCGTCGAAAGCAAGAACTAGAATTCAAGTGGATGCGAGTCGCGATGCATACTCGCATAGTGTTCACATAATGACAGAACAATGATCGCGCGACAGAGGTGACCTTGGCAATGATGAACGTGACCACGACACGCTCGCTGCGCATGTTCCGACAAGCCAATACATTACACACTGCGATAGATTCGACGTGGACTTCACCATTAGAGTCGTTGTTATCTGAGAGTTAGTTGCCCGGATCAGTCCGTGGATCTCGAAGTGCGAATTCCGTCATTGCTGAGAATCGCGTGCGGCGAGATCATTCAAGCCCAGAACGGGTTCACTCGTCGCTGGCGCTCTCATCTTCCCCGTCCCGATCGGCCTTGTTGCCGGCGAATTTCTCTTCGCTGGATCTTGATAATGGGATCGGTCCTTGACTCGATGCAGTGCCCGCCGAATTTCTCAGCGAGTTATCGCTACTTGTCGAGAGTCAAGAGAGTGGATGCTTGGGACCTGTGATACCGCAGGGCGGCTCGTCGCAAATTCCGCTCGCTTGAGGAGGCTCCCGGACGACGAACAAAAGTCATTGGAGCACGGGGTGAAGGTCGGCTGTGAGCCGGTGATGTTCTCGAGAATAAATAAAGCACTTGAGCAGAACTGATGATCGCCATCTGCTAGAGGTCCCGGTCGGATCCGCAGCCAAATGTCAGGTCCTTGTTCGTAACCTGCATTGGTCAGCCGCGGCGACGTCATCGTAGCGATGCCGCGTCTCAGAATAGCCGGGGCAAGAAGTGAAATATCAATTCGACGAGCCAAATTTAGTTTCCGCTCTCGTTCCTAAATTTGGAAGCTCGATGCTCTTTTGTACGAGGGCGCTCGGGTTCTCACGTGATAACGGGATGCCAGCTGGCGCTCATGGAGTTGAAGGCTCATCCCCCGCCGGCTCTGAATGAACCTGGCTCGTTCCACTCGACGCGACGGTCCTCCATCAGATTCTAGAGGAGAATCGAGAGCGAGGTAGACTTGAAATATTTCTGAGAGAGCCGCCAATGATGATGATGAGCGCAATAGGAAAGGTTCCTTCTTTGAATGACGTCTATTGCCGAGTCTTGGCGTGTGTATCACCTCTTATTCGTTAAAATGTATACACGATTTGCATATAGTATCACAACGTTGATCGAGGAAAATCACAGTTTGTTCTCTATCATTCGTTTGGGCACGTCGTTTCGTCCCACTTGAATTTCTCCTGCTCTGGGCATCTGTACAGGTGATACTCTCCACAGCTCTGGTCGCGGAGTTTGCAATGACAGCCCGATGCGGCCTCGTGCAAATCCTGTGATGGTAGCCGTGGATTGTGCCTCTTGTGACGCGGTGCCGTTCTTTGCATTCTGGTTCTTTCCACCACTGAGTCATCATTCCTGGGGTCCGTAAAAATCTGGGTGAACCACCGCTCTTTTCCTTGCCCAGTTTTTTATGTGCCTGTCGAACTCCGGCGTTCGGGGTAGCCTGAACTTCTCCATGAGTTCTTCTGCCAGCGGCCTCGCATCGGCTAGAAGGTAGACCTTCCTATTTCTTGATGATCTGTGAACGCTCAGCGCTTGCTTCAGGAAACTCGCTTTGAGCCTGTCGAGCTCCTCGAGGTGCTTTACTCTCAGGTTTTCCCCACACCACTTGGATGCCATAGGAGGCAATCGGTGCGATCTTCATGTTGAACAGTGTCATGGCCGTTTACAGTGACAGTTTCCACGGGCTTGGGATCGCAGTGAATGCCCGCTTCTGGAAACTGTCGGCGACGTGTCTGCTCACTGCCACTCCCCTACGGTTCAGTTCTATTCCGAGGTAGCAAAACTGCTCGATGATTTCGATCTCCTCGTCGTAGGTTTTGAACAGGTCTCCTTCCGACGAGGACCACTGGTCCCGAACTTCATCGCTTTTGTTTTGCCCGTGTTGATCGTCATTCCGTCCTCGGTCGAGTACATTTGGAGCGTCTGTACGGCTCTCTGTAGGTAGTTACGAGCTCGGGAGTATGTTTGCTTGTTTGTTTATTGATGGAACTGCAAGTTATACACTGCTGAAGTTCACATATTAAAATGTACATGAATGTAATTAACACAGGTCGAGCAGAACAAGTAAGTGCTCCTATAAAACAACCTGGCCGCTGAGAATGCTGAGTATATGACAGTATCGTCGGCGTACATTGTTGTGTAGGCAATGTCGTATTCTCTTCTGATCTTGTAGGGCAGATAGTGAAGGAGGAATAGGAGAGGTCCCAATGTCTTTCATTCGAATATTCGCGCTCCCGTCCCTCGCTTAGGGAGTCTTGTGTCCAAACCGAAAATCCTGAAAGAATGCCTTCGACTTCATTCGCGATGCCTAGGAATTTCCCCATTCTGTTCGCTGAACAGGATAGCGCCAGTGTTAGATGAAGGCTTGTGATTCGCTACTTGGACTGCTAGTAGTCGGAAGTCAGGCAAGAAACGTGAGACCTTGAGTATCCGACCATGAGCATGAGCGGAGTTATTCCATAGGAGCCTTGATCCGGTTCCTCGGGTCTCGAGCTCATCGCTTGGGTACGCTACGCTTGCGCTTGCGTAGGCTGCGTGAGCGTAAGTATCCGATTGCTCGTGCAGGATCTTCACGGCACCAGCGCTGTATCTCGTTTTGAAAGTCGAGTCCCTCAACTACAGTCTGGTTCTATCCTGATCCGATGACGGCTCGACTCCACGCGACGTTCAGGACTCTGTGGTAGACAGATTTCTTGTTCTTCCTCTCATCGCCTCCTCTTGTGAGTGACTTGGTCGGTGTACGTGCAGCAGTGATAGGAGTACAATTGTTACAGCGGTCTCGGTAGTCGTCGTCTTACCCGTCGACGTATTGCTCTCACTTGTTTCCTTCCTTCTTCCGACGTCGCTCACCGCAGCTCGTTCCTCTTTGTATCTTGGGAGCCGGAATACATCTAGAGGAAGACCGCTCTCAGCTGCCGAGTCGGCTTTAGCCCCGAGCGGAGGATGTTGCCGCAGCATTCTCTCATGAGTTGTTGCGAGCTGTGCCGAATCCTTTCAGGCCCGAGATCTCGGTAGAATTCCGGTGCACACGGTCCCACTTAGCTGAGGATAATTGAGCCGTCCGGATGACACTCCGCATTCTCGAAGTGCTGAATCAGGCGAGCGCTCGCAACTGGTTGCCGAACAAATCACTTTCACTCCTCGTTTTGTCACCTCGCAGTCGAATGCTGCGGAGAATGCACGAAAATGAGAGTGATATAGAGATCGCTCCGAGAATATTGAATGGACATCTCGCAATGGGAGCTGATTTCCGGCGATCGGCGCTATAGGGAACCTCCACTTCGGAAGTGTTTCTGCCGTGCTGATAACGAGCGGGCTATTTTCAACCTCCGGCGCGTCACAGCTCCACCATTAGGAGCGAAATCACTCTGTCGATTTTAGCTGATGACAGTGCAGTCAATCAGCGCCTATCGCTCCTGACCCTGGGGTACTCGACGGCGACGTCATCATCGTGGTTGCCGCCGACATCGTTTCCTAATAGAATCCATTTGCAAGGCGTTAGGCCGCCGTTGTCGCTGTGTTCACCAAAAGAGCCACGTTCCTGTACAGCTCCTCAAGAGGAGAAAACTGCGGTATAGGCCTTTCCAGACTAGTTGAAGTCGTTTCCCCATTCCAAAGGCTGTTCTGTTTTGCTTCCTCGCCACCATGCGAACGAGTAACTCAAATCAGAGAACTCGTTGCCAGAGGCAGGGAGGGCCCAATCTGTGTTTCATGTTCGGGAAATGCATGATTCTTTCGTAAATGTGAGGGAGTAGCAAGATGGGGCAGGCAAAACTTGCATAAAGGATTTCTCCTATGGCATAACTCTACTCTTCCACTCACTTCTCGCAGATTTTCCAACTGCAGTCCGTGGACAATTTATTCGTCGTAGTTGAACGGTTCGCTGCAGCTGAATTCGTCGGTGATGAAGCGCTGGACTTGGAATGGATCTACAGGATGGCTGCGCGGATCAACTGGGATCGAGGTGCGTTTCTAAACGAGAGTTGAGCGAATTTCTGGGAGAATTCACTTGGAGCGAGGCCGCTTCAAATCAGCTAGGTGGGCTCCCATGATCGCATCAAGGCTTGGAAGGCTCTTCTCACATTGTTATATTCAGTCGGGAGCGCTTCTGTGGTCCTTCGGAAGAATCCTTCTGGATGAGCTTAAAAGCTTTCGTGCTGTCAAGAGGAGACACAAAGCGCGTGTCGTTCTCTGAATAAGGATACCCTGCCAACTAGCGGCCGCGATGACTCCGACTGCCTCCGAGAAGCGTGAACTCGCTAACTAAGCATCGCGGATACGATTACGTCCGAGAGCTGGTCACCTTCATGACGAGTCCTCAACGGCATCGCTCTCCTGATGGGCAGGAGCGAACCGGAGTCGACTTTCGATTGCTATAACTCGATTGTTTGCCGCAGGAGTGAGAGCGTGGACCGACATTCGAGCTCCGACTCGGACACTCGAGGAGTGTTACGCGCTAATGGGCTCCGCAGGAGATCAGGTGGGCGTTCGTGTTCTGCATATTTCCTGGAGTCAGTGGGGACGAGCGCTCTGCAACATTCTTCGTGTCAATTCCCTGTCGCAGAGAACTTGTTTCACGTAGCCGACTTTGCGGCTGGTGACGATTTTGCGAGGGTGAAAACTTTTCCTTCGTCGCAGACCTATTTGTTCAGTCAGCTCGTCTGTATTCCCCACGACAGGTTTCTAAGGAGAACGTGGAAAAACTTCCGAAATTCAGAGTGACATGTAATCGCAGCGGGAAGGAACATAAGTTCACGTCGATGCAAGCTGCTTCGAAGTTCGGCGCTGGCGTCAACGACTTCTTCCACTGGCAGGTAAAATACTCTGGATGTGTCAGTTCCCAACCAGAGCCTCATCTGTCTGGCCTCGTGGGGTCGGGCTATAAATAGCTTATGAGCCGGCCTGCCGGCCGAGTCCGTATGTGTACGTCATTCAAAATATACCTCAGCGAAGTTCTCGTCGATCGGGATCCAGAGCTCTATATCAGTTCGCGCTCACTGCGGGCGATCGCATTGAAGGTTGACATGAAGAACTTCGACATGAATATCATCGCCAACATCGCCGATTCCAAGATGGATATTCTGATCGCGTTGACGACATCGTCCCTGCACCACCGCAATCTCGTGGAGTTCGGACCGACATCTCTACGGTCCACGATCGCGTATTGCATGCTGAGGTAATTTATTCGGGATTGGAGAACTCGAAAGAGATCACTCGCGATTCGCTCTCCGAATTTCGCTATTTATTCACAACGTATGCGGCTTTGATCAGCCCCCGGGGACGGCATCGAAGCCAATGCTCATCTGGATGCTGCGTTTTTTTTCTAGGCTCTGTCGCGTAAAGCCCGGGGAGATAATTGTAGATCCTCTGTGCGGAGGCGGCTCGATCCCCATAGAGGCCGCCCGGAACTTCAGTGACAGTTTTGTGCTGTGCGCCGATCATCACGAACTCGCAATTCCTCGCTGTCGCAGCAACATCAATCACAACTCCCTCGAGGGAAGAACCGATCTCATCCAGTGGGACAGCAGAAACATGCCGCTCCGGAATGCGACGATTGATGTTCTAGTAACAGACCTTCCATTCGGGAAACGGATGGGCTGCAAACGCGACAATAGGTGTCTATATCGCGAACTGTTGCAGTCGATGGCCAGAGCTTCGGTGCCTGGAACCGCCAGAGCCGTTCTGCTAACCCAAGACCGCAGATCACTCACCCTGGTAGGTTTCCATTTCGAAAAATGGCTTCGTCGCTTTCCTAACGTGTTCTCGATGACCCCGAGTCGATCGTACCGGCCGTTCATTCTCTGTGGAAACCGTCACGTTTACCCCTGGGAGTGTGCTTTCAGGCGGTAAGTCAGTGTCATAAATGGTGGAGAGCTGGCTACACGGTAGCTTGTAACATCGGGGGACTCGATGCCATCATCATGGTTTGTCATCGGACCAGCGAGCCCTATTAGAATCAAGATTTCCGAGGATATGGGACGGACAGCGCGCTCGAAATCATGCTTCGATTCCCCGGCTCCAAGAGGACTGGAGTGACTATAGGACCAATGGCTCCAAAGATCACCTCGGGTAGCAAACATCTCTTCGCTGGGGGAGCTCAAACGACTTGGGTACAAAGGAAGCGGGAGCGAATCGAAACGCACACTTGCCCTTCTGCCGTTAATAATAATTTATCTCAGCTCATGGATCATGATCATCATAACCGTGGAACTTCCCCATCCCAAGGTGATGCGAGTCCGGTTGAAAGAATTTAATTTTTTATCGTCTCATTTTTTTGTGAATTTGTCCTTTTGGAAAAAACGGGAAGGAAAAGATACTTCAAAGTGTAGATGGTTGAATGCCGGGCTTCATCATGATTCTGTTATGCTTTATTCAAGATGCAATGATTGATGTGGTTTGGGTCTATTCCACCTCCTACCTGCTGTCCCTGCTGTTGGTGGCGGTGGTGATGCTCGTTACCATTACCGTATAACACATAATATAGTACAAATCTTCTTCCACAAGGTCTTCTTAATGAATTACCACTGATTTCAATTGCTCTCAGTCAAAAACTTCAAACGAGAATATGACCTCACGCCGGTTTTGTTCTACGGCTTCTCCCCCCGATTTCCTTCCCGGCCGAACGGTGTCGTCGCCGAATTGAAGAGACGATCGATCGACTGGTCAGGGGGCGGGAGCTCTGATGGCGGGAATCAGGCAGCGAACCAAATTGAGTTTCCGTCCCCTCGATCATCAGGGGGTCACGTCCAAAGAGCTCGGAACTCGTCCAGCTCCGGAATTTGAGTTGTGATGATCCGTCGACATCGAGTTTCCTCCGAGTTCGGCAACCAAATGATCCCCGAGTGCCGACCGTGAGGGAGCTTGGTAGCGCCCCGAATTCGTATAGGCCATATTTTCTGCACATCATCATATTCGAGAAACACGTGTAACAATCGAGCTTGAGTACTTAGGTTACAGGTTGGGTGGGGATCGCTTGCGGAGAAGGAATCGACGCTCCCGACGTCTGGATCGTGTTGTTGTTGTTGTTGCTGCTGCTGTTCCCAGCCGCGCTGCTCGGTGTTCCGGAAACTGAGCTGCCGCCGGTGGATTCTATTTTCCCGCTGGTGGTGGTGCTTTTGGTTCCCTCGCCCGGCGATGACGATCTCGAGATAAGGGCTTCCTGTTCGTCTAGGAACTTGTCCATGTAGTCTCTGAAGAGAAAATTCGCTCGCTTAGTACTCAGAAGATGATCGATGGGATCGATATTCCCATTCCGCGTATTCATCACAGGGAAGCGCGTCATAGAGAGAGAGGAGAATGAGCTCCGCGGAAATCCTCCTCTGCGATACTCACGTCGTGCCAGGATGAAGAGCGTATTTCTTCTTTTCCAGACGGGTTCTAGACGTAAACACGTCGTGTCTCTCAGTTTTCTTCCACAAGTAGTAGAAATTCACAAGTTCCTTGACAGATCTACTCGTCAACCTGCTAGTCTTGATCGTGAAGAAGTCTTTCCCGAAAAGCCGGAGACCAGCTTCGAAATTCCGGCACTCTTCTTCGCTCCAAGGCGTCATATCGCAATCGCCATTCACAAAGCTTCCGGCACCCCCCGGAGGACCTCCGAGTTTTTGTCTCCGTAGAGCTTCTTCCACGCTGAAACCGCTCTGCTGCAGCAGCCAGAGAGCGCGTTCGTCATCTCGCACGTGGTTTCCCATCGGTAGAGGTTCTGCGTCGCCATTGAGCTCTTTGTTCGCGGCCGCTTGCCTGTGGGATTTCAGGGAGAGAATTTAGAAGACCCCGAGGGCTCTGGGAATGGAGGACTGAGCACAATGAATTCCTTCCATCGTGAGACTGTTTCGTCTCCCCGTGACCCGCGAGGAAATTTCGCTCCTCACCATTTGTCGTAATAGTCCACAACGGTTTGATCATCCATGTGCTCCGGCTCCCATTGGAGGATGTCCTCGTTCTCATATGGAGATACATCATCGTATTTGGCGAAAGACTCGGGAATATCAGCTTGGAAACTGGAGCCAACCTGTGGATGGAATATTTCATCAGACTCAGATTCTGAGGATCGTTACGATGATAGAGACCCACCGGCGACAGAGACTCCTGAGAGACACACACCTGAGCGATCCTCACCCAACCTACTGCCGCACCGTACTCACCTGTATGGTTTTCTTCCATCTTCTGTCATCCCTATCGTTGAACTCATCCTCATCCTCGTCATCGGTGGAATCTTGAGAGCCACCCCTGAAATGACGCGTCGATGAACCTCTACAATCTATGCATCATCAATGAGTCATTCTGAATAGATCCGATGCCGCGGACCGCCGAAGGGGATCACCCGAGTACTTTTCGCGGCATGAACAGAAACGGACCTGAGTAGCTGCGCGGTGCGAGAGGATCTCGTCAGAAATTTATGGGTGGACTCTTTCTTATCCTTAGGGTCTTTTTCTTTGCCGTCCTTCGTATCCGCACCGTCTTCGAGATCTTTCGGATCGTCGCCTTTGGAATTCATGCTCGGTTCGTCGTCTGTCTCATCGTCTGATGTAGACCGCCTGCTGCCTGTTAGGGGGGTGGGGGTTAAATAAGTAATCTCCCGATGAACATTCTTTCCGAGAAATCGGGTGAACACGGAGTCAACCGCTTCGACGACAGCGTCCCTTCTGAGCCGATAGCGGTTCAAGGGTCAGACTGACTCGATTTACTAACCCAGAGCAATCGGGGCGGGTTGATGATCGCCACCGTAACCGAACATTTCCTTCAGTTTGTCGATGGGCATATCTTGCTCGTTCTTGAGGAGTTCGAGTTCGTCGTCCTCTTCCTCGTCACCCCCTTCGAGTTCTTCTTCTTCGGCCATGGTTCTTTCATCGTCGAAGTCATCGACCATCATTTCCGCCGTCGGCTCGAAGTCCTGATCGCTGTCATTCCCTAAACATACGTGAAGCAAAATTTATGAGATCGCCGGATGGCAAGCTGTCTGAACGAAAAGCCATTGGGAAGCTCCGAGAGGGAGAACAGTCCGGAGGGATACGACGTCGGGTGTCGCCGGGCTTCCCAAGAAAGCCAGGCGGTCCGAACCAGCGAGCTCAATCGTTCAGTTCCTCATTGAAATGCTTCTTACCATTACTGGTTTCACTCGGATTGGGTTGAACAGCTTGCTGTGGAGAGAAAAATTTGGTGAGAAAGTGCTTATCTCGGGCTAAAATTACATGATTTCAAGCTCAATAGCGGCTCCGACAGTCAATCGGGTCTACGTTTCCCTCCTCGTATGATTGATTCTGAACCTCACGGGAGAAACGAGAAAGAACGGCGGAGCAGAATAACAGCGACACAATCTAAGTACATCCCCGGCGGCCCCCATCGAATCCTTTGCCATAACTCGCGTATCGAAAACTATCGCTCCGCAGACCACGCTGACCTCCGCGATACATTTGTCAAATCGGAGTCATTCGGAATTCCGGGATCGTGCACACTCCGCTCACATGCATTCCGGAGTACCTTCGGAATCGAGTTCGCTGCCGGCTCTCGGAAAAACCGGGTCCCATTAGACACGATCGTGAAAATCGAACCCATGATTGTGTCATGTTGAACCACCCTTATCCATGGAAAACTCGGGAGTCGGGGAGCAATGACCAGAGTCCGATCTAAAGACAAATGCGGGAAAAACTCCCAAACCGGCGTCCCATGGTTGCGGGAAGAGGAAGAATTGGCGCGGAAAATTTCTGGAAGTATTCGCCCGTCTCCTGGCAGGTAGCGAAGTGCCGGGAGAAGAGCGAATAGTCTCCAGCTTCAATGCTCGCTCTCAAAAAACGGCATGAGGCTTCTCGTATCGAGGTTTCGGTGATTCCCGGAAACCTACTTGTCAAACCTTTCGATAGATAACAATTCCGGAATTCCTCCGCAGAACAAGATGACAGCGAAAACTTGCCGCGTCATGTGTTCCACGAAGAAAGAGCGGTCTCTCGTCACAGGATAGATGTTTATCATGTGCCTGGAGTTCAGTTTAGAGACAGAAATAAGAAAAATTCCACCAACCTCCTCCGCCATTCTGGTGCTGTGTTTGTTGACTCTCGAGTGAACGATGATGCTTGTGATTCGAGCGAACGCTGAAAGCGAAATGAGCGCTTCATCGGGTGGCTTCCATTCTGCGTGGCGCCGAAACTCAAAAAAAACTCAGGCTCGCTCACTCACGAGGTGAGAGGAAAGGAACTCGACCGAACGAACTCTAGCGGTGAAGTCCCTCAAGAGACCGTGTCCTCCCCTTTAACTAGTCCGTGGGGCGGATAGAGTTCAATTCTCTCTCGGGTCGAGATCTCACGCATTGTGGGAGAGTGCGACCCCCTAATGAGCCTAGCGCCTCGTGAAGATCCTCGCAATCCGACCTGAGGAATTCGGACGAATGAGAACCCGGGGCTTCCATCGATTCGAATTTAATTAACCGGGGCGTTCGAGAGTATGCGTATTGGGTACTACGCGGACACGATAGAAGTTTCATGCGATGTCTAGCGACACAGTCTACTAAACGATGTGATGAAAGCATATTCATCATCTGTATGTACAGTCTTGAAAGACGATTGTAGTGTTTCTTTTCGTTGATCAGGTACAGCACGACTATATTCTAGCGAATCGCACTTGTGCGACCAAGAAAAATATCTTGTACATGGAACACTCGATATATAGGTTTGTTGGTCGGTTGACTGACTTTTTCTCGTATATCAGAACCCAACAAGCCTCGGATGTATAATTGCGATCCGCACAGGGTCGCCGTGACTAGATAAGACTCCTTAGCCACATCAATGATGATTCCCACCCACACACGGTATCACGCTAGACGTCCTCAGCAGCACAAAATTGGTGTCGTCACCATTATCATCCATCACCTACGCTGTTCCGACACATGCCGTCGTCACAAAAATCGACAATCAAAGTTCTAGCTATACACAGGAAATAAGGCGCAGGCTTGTTGCGACCGATGTTTTCAGTGATCGTCGTTAATGATGCTATCGTAATCCTTGATAGAGCTCTGATCATAGCTCTCCTTCATCTCTTTGATAATGATGGAGGGCTCGGATTTTCCAGTCATGCCGAAAAGAAACTGTCGACGCTTCTCATCACGATTGACTTCGGGGTCCGACGAAGATGAAACATTCAGGATTTTCGACTCGTCGTCTGAAACGGAACGAAGCCGCATGAACTTCTCCGAGAGCTCTCCTCAGGTCGAAGAAACACCTGAAATATGGTGAGAATCAGAGAGGCAGAGGGATTCGCGTCCTCAATTTTTCGGTGCCTCCGATTCCAAGAATGACGCGGGACTTCGTCGGAAATTCCTTCATCATGATTAAATCATGATATATGCTCCTCGAGGGGAGCTCGGCTATGTATTCAAATAGGGATAGGAGATCCCAGGACGTGGGTACAGATACTGTGCTCCGGGGAGGCGGCCGCTGCGTGTTCACAATGGCCAACCACACGAGAGTTCAGACTCTCCAGTCCTTAACGTTTCGGGGTGAAGAGGGAGCCTTACTTTCTGTCGCGGTTTCCTGGATGTTCATCGGGAGCTTATTGTCGTGAGCGGCATCATCTGGGGAGTTGGCACTGGTTGTCTCGGCGGTTCCGTTCCTCTGAAACTCGCCTCCGTTTGCGATTGTCGCAGTCGTTGAAATCAGAGTGGTTTTCTCCTCAACGGTGACTTCCGTCTTTTCTGTCGTCGTTTCAGAAACTTTCTGAAGACCTTCCAGACAAAGCGGATCATCTTTCAGCTCGTCAACGGGGTCTGAGAGCGTGACACCGTCCGCCGTGGCGGCAGCGGTGTCGCTCACAGGAGTAGTAGCAGCGACGGTGGCAGGATCCGGAGGGAAACGTTTCTCTTCAACGAGTGGAGGTTGAGAATCGTCCTGCCTCTTTTTCTTCTCAATTGTTGCATAAAGGGCCTCCACTTTGGGTTCTTGATGTTCGCGGTAGCTGGCGAGATGCGGATCAGCCGGCCCGATGTGAATGTTTTCTTTGACTTCAACTGTTTTCCCGTCGACCACGGTAGCTTCGGATGTCTTGACTTCCGTCTTCTCCGGAGTAGCCAACGTTGTCTCGGTTTTGATGGTTTTCGTGCCGGACGGCGACGTGATCGACTCAGTTCGAGTAACTATTGTGCTCGTCTCAAGATGCGGGTTGGGTGCTGTCTGTTTCTTGATGCTGGAAACCCCGCTACTGGAAATGGCGCCGAAGCTCGGATCCTCTTTAGTCACAACGATCGGCGTCCGCATACTCGTGGTGCGACTGGATATTTTCTGGTAGCGATGGTGATCGGTGATAGACTCAACGCCCGATGTGTCCGAAAGCTTCTCGCTTGACACCGTGTGGGTGGAGACGCCCCGGGTTCGTACGGGTCTCCGGACCAACATTCGTTCGGTCCAAACCTGTCGAAGATAGATTTTTCCTCATTCGGGGTCTAGGGTCTCTCCTTAATCGCGCTCTTCACAATGTATGGAGAGGCCATGAATTTTCGGAGGAGCACTCTGACGGGGAATATCATTTCGGATTATCATGACGAAATGGCATAATTTCGAGGAGGAAGAAATTCCGTCGGATGCTCAGCGGAAGGACTAGGGAATATCGAAAATTGTCAATTTATTCGGTTCCTCGGGGATTTCCCAATCTCTTTTGGGACTCCGAGGGGTGCGGACTTCGGAGGGATTTGGGATTTAGCTTTCCCGACTGCTCGTGGTGAAGCAACATGAGCTGGAGGGCCTTTCGGAACTATCTCGGTCTCCGGCTTGGCATTCGACGGATTGAGTGAAACTTCTTTGTCATGCTTGGCCTTCTTCACTTCCTCCGATGATCGACACTGTACCTTGTTGAGGATGGCTTGTCGCTCCAGCTCTCGCGCGGCAGCGCTCTCTTCTTTGTCTTGTGCGGGTAGCAGAGGCATGAGTCGACCGATGTCCTGGTTGAGCACCTCATCAAGACGATCGAAATACTTCTGCTTCTTTGGCTTGATTCTCGAGAAGTCGTATTGATTCAAATACCGCCGGAGATCTTTGAGATTCGGGAAGTCCCCAAGAGGGATCTGATGCTCTTTGGACAGCTTATCGCAAATCAAAGCGAGGTCCCGGATCAGAATCCTGCGAATTCAGCGGTATTACTCAGAATATCGATCTCCTTCATTGGGGCAGCCTAGAGCCTGAAACTGCTTCCAGATTTCAACTTGAGCGGGAACATTCCGATCGTTTCGGACTCAAGTCCTCTGATCGACAAACCACTTACTTTTTCTTGCGGACAGCGCCTAGACCGAAGGTCGGCATACGTTTACGTAGCTCAGCCATGATGTAGGCATGGATGCGCACGTTTTTAGCCCGACGGACGAGGTCGTTTAATTTTCTCAGATCGCCATCCCTGGACAATGTGTAAATATCGATAATTAGGTCTGCTTCCTCATCTTCGAAAAGATGCCTGTTCTCCTCATGACGCCAAGGATTCTCCCAAAACGATCCGATGTAAACGCGGGCAGCCTCGGGCGTCGCCATGACCTTGGAAGAGAAAGTGTGAGATTGAAGTCTCCGTTTACTCATTGTGAAATCAATGGGGAATGCACTCAGAACCGAGGCAATCCTCGGTTCTCAGGGAAATGCACTGCAATCTCACCGACCTTCCCTAGAGACCACATAAGGGCTCCGTAAACTCGCATGAGTTGTTGAGTGTTGACGGTATCCGATTTATTCAGAACTATTCGGATCTTATCTTCGAAACCTTAGGAGTAGAGAAGTCCTCGTATGAACAAACCGTACTAAATTCGACTCGGAGGGGTAGAAATCTCTTTTCCTTCGAAAGAATCACCTTTGACCATGTCGATCGCTCCTCTGAGCTCATCCGAAATGTCCAACTTGTTTATGTCGAACAATAAGATGATTCGATCACACCGCTCGGCAAACCACCTGTCGATTCATGATTCGAGTCAGTTCGAGCCTCGATGAAAATTTTCCTCATCAGACTGCCTCTCAGAGCGAGGTTGAAGGGTATCAGATAGAACACTGGAGGGGCTCCGTAGTAAGAGATATGTCTGACACGATACCTGAGCACGGCGGTGAGGTCATAGCCTCGCTCCTTTTCGCCCGACAGGATACCGGGGGTGTCGACAAGTGTGACTTTCTCTAGGATCTCACATTTGGCAGTTGCTAGTTGAAAACGATTCAGAAACTGACCACCGAATCTTGCGAGGGTCCCGAATTGTTTGCTTTTGTCGACCACCGCTGCATTTCCTAGAATACAATTCGAAATCATTAGCGTACATCTCATTGTCGTCCATCGAGGGACCAAGGAGCAGCTGCCCCTCCCGCCCCGGCAAACCATCGTGGAACAGCTCTCAGAAGTAATCTTCCAGCCAAGTCTTCCAGCTCACCAGGGATAATTCCTTCTTCTTCGCCGTACTCTACCACGATGAAATTGTCGGTCGTTGGTTCGGGGCCGATTCGCATTCCGGGGTATTCTTTCCCCAGAATGTATCTGATGAAGGATGTCTTCCCCGTGGAATATTCGCCGAAGAGTAACACTAACGGCTTCGATTCGAAGTACGCGGGCTCGAGCGGTGTCGACGCAAAGTCCTGGAATGGAACCGAGGTCATTTCGAAATGAAGAACCCGCATGAGAGCGAGGAGCGAGCCCCAACACTGATGGACGTACTGACCTCATAGTTGTAGTGTTTTTCCAAGGGGTGGATTTTCGTACGGTAAATGTCGTTGAGAGCGTCTGCGACGATGACTTCATTGCCCTTCCTGATCCTCGCATCGTAATCGCCTCTTTGCAAGGTGAAGCATTTCGGTATCGAAGGCATCTCTAAGGCGATCGGCTGTGGATAAACATCAAATCTTGATTATTAACAGTGGCTTTGATCACGCGTCTCGCCACCACGGAGCCGCAACACTTGCACTCGGTAGCGCGACAGAGTTGGGCAAAGAGCACAGACTACGGCGAGCGGTTCTTCAGCGAAATCAAACGCGTCGTTGTCCTCGAATCGTGAATGTGACATTTAGAATAATAACTGTTCTACGGCCAGCGAATCTCACACGTTTGCAGCGCAGCGACCTAACTAATCGTAAGGAGCGCTGGAGAAGCCCCTGCCGCTCGAAGGCGGAGAGATTCTGAGCCCGGTAGCTCTATCCTGGAACTCAGGGGGATTTTCTGTCTCTACAGAACTCAGTCAGCGGCATGAAATTGCTCCCCATCGATTTCGGTGCTTCATTCTAACACCCGACGATTGTGACTCTATCGAGCGCGTATCCGAGCATACCGAAGTGTCAGCAGCCTTCAGAATGGTCCAAGGTCAGACACAACCGTCTCGTTCTTGCTCAGAATCGTACTCGACTGACTGAGCAGCATTCGCACCGCCATGACATCAACAGAATTCTCGACCGTGGAATTGTTTTTCCACGGCTGAAGCCGTAAATGGGGTACAACGATGTCATCGCAACCTCACGCTGCCCGCGGAGGAGCGCCGTCAGAATCTTGTAATCTTCGGATTTCCTTCTTCCCGGATTTCGCACCGAAGTGAAGAGGGAGGCGTGCAGTCGATCTGATCATTGTTCAGAAAGTTTCGTGTTGAAGACGAATTCTTCTCGCTTCTAATGTATTTGGCATCCGAACCCACACAGTCGTGTCCAGACAGCACCTGCGACCTGCCGCGCCGTCCCGACGGAGAGCTGCCGATCATCGTTGTAGAACTTCATAAACAAGCCTTTCCTTCAGAATCAAATCAACCAGAACAGACGCCGCAGTCAGTCTCCGAGATCGCGGACAACCAAGCCGAGAGGGGATCAGATCACAAGCGAGCTAATTATTTCGGGTCGATCGATCGCGTGATCTCGAAGTGGTAATTTGAACTTCCGAAGGACGATAATCAACGCCCTGGTCGAGTCGGACATCGAGAATGCGGTCAACCCCAGCGAAGCATTTCTGCTCCTGCCGGAAGCCTGTAACATGTCTCACTAGCGGATATGAATGCTTCCGAAGTGGCATGGGCATGTCAAGCCCGTCGTGATGATGACGGCGCACATTCAGCCGATTGTGTCGAAGCGCGCGCTGGTCGGCGTCAGCGCTCGGGAACCGCAGTCTGTGACAGCAGGAATTGACAATCTAACCAAGAGGCTTCGGGCGGGAAAGATCTCCTCCGGGCCCACTCCATCGAGAGACCTCTTCAATTATGCGCGTTCAGAGGCAACAACAACCTCGAGTTGATCGCGGAAATTCGGAGGGTGCGGATGGCACGGCACGAGATGCCCTCCCAAGTGAGTGGCTGCATCCACCGATGGGATCCCCGCCGTCAGGAGCTCGTTGAACCCTCGAACCGAAGCGAGTGGAAAGATCCAATCCACTCTACATTTTGACAAAGTCCTAAGAGAGCCCTCGAGAGCGTCCCTGCCCGGAATTTCGGACACACTTCCTATTCTCTCGCACAGCACGATGATGATCGGCGAATAAAAATGATAGGAACCAGTTAATAGATGCTGCTCTGGCTCGGTTTACTTCCAAATACTCCCTCAGAGTTCATCGCCTTGTGTCTAACGATCCCGAGGCCGGTGATTCCCGGGTTGGTTTGTGCTGATTCTCGAAGGGCTCCTGTGTTGTTGTCGGCTGCGTGGAGGCAGCGGTCGACGGCGGGCCATAGTCAGCCGGTCAGCCTGGCCGGTATGTTTATCCTTGTGCTGTTTAGGGAAATGCTCGGTTTTCCTCCGAGCTTGTTGATAGCGCTGCCAGTGCTCTCACCCACTGACATGAATGTGGAATGCGAATAAATTCTATGGCCGCCGTCTTCTTTTTTAGGAGCTCACTCTGGAAGAAGCAAGACAAACTCACTCCTCCGACCCTGTTCTGGTTCGTTTAACTCACTGAGTCCCGCTCTCAAAAATATGGCTTCCTTGTCGCTGTTCCCACTCAATCCAGGAAATGTTCTCGTCTAGGGTTCGGCTACGATCCCTGCATTCCGGAGCTAAATATTGTAGACGCTGAGTCTCGACACACAGGGATGAACTTGATGCTGAAACCGAAGTCTTCGACAGCTTCCTATGGCTTGACGTGAATTTGTTATGCTTCGGCCCCTCGCGAAGCTGCGGTCGAGGAGGCGGACGACCGTTGCTACGCCCTTGCTGACCATTTCCCTAATTTCGGTTACTGCTCGGAGGGGCGCCACCCAAACACGACAGAGCTCCTGGCTCATTAGAGGTAGAGCCGAGGAAGCTGCGGCTTGGAGCTTGTGGTCGGAATCCAGTGAAAATCTTATTCGTTGAAAGTAGCTTATGTCGAGCGAGGTCGGCATGTCAAATCGGAGTCGGTCGGGGAGCGATGTCCCGCCCCACTAGAACATTGACCGTTCAAAAATAGGATATGACGTTAGTTTTGAGCCATTCGCAGACAGGAGTTCAACTCTGTCAGATGGCGGGATGCGCGGAGAAACAATGTTCTGTTTCATGTCCAGTCTCGGACGTCTCCAACGTAGCTGTCGTGACTTGTCGTAAAGATCCATGAAGATCAAGGATAGAGATCAGGTTACCCTTTCAGGCAGATCGGTACGAGTGCAGCTCACAGTCACTATCTCGTTGTCTCTCCGAAACCACGAGATGGAAATAGTTTCACGTGTGGTAAATGGAAGTTGCTAACGTCTTTACGTGGATTGAGTCACCGCCCTACAGCCTCCCCCGGGCGGACAAGCTGTCTTTTGATATCTCCTTCGAGGGAAAACGTCGATCCACCGCTAATTAGTACATTGTACGTGACATATCGAACCTCTCATTCTAGTAATTAGAAGGGGGCCGCATGATCTAGATGGAGAGAGTGAGAACGAACGTCTACTCGAGGAGTCCGCCGTTACTACTCTGGACCGGTCACCGAGCAAAGTGATCATGATGCCGACTGGTTCCCTTGGAGGTTAATGTCTGCCGTCGCTTTCCTTACGACTGCCGGTGCTTGATCGCTTTCTCAGTGGCTCGCTTTCATGCCTGCCTGCCTGACTGCTCGTTTCAGTGTCGGACACTCACTGGCCCGGGCTGAACGATCTCTCATCAGCGCTCCAAAGCGTCTCTATGATGTGATTGTGTGATGTATGACATCATGATGTGTAGCAGCGGAACACTCTCTCCGCGGATCAGATTTTTGTTTCTCCTGTGGTCAGTAATCTCTCAGTCCCCCGGGTAAGGGGAGCGTGACCGAACACCGACGATATTTTTGTCGTATCGAATCTTTCTCTCCGACGTGATGGGCAACGTTCCGTCTTCCGAGCTGTCGGCATCCTCGAATCCCAATGCTGATCCCATCTCTCCGCTTCTCGGGGAAGATGCCCTCCAGAATCTGTCAGCGGCTTCCTGAGACATTGAATGAAGGGGCACGGGACTGCGATCGGCCTGGAGATTCTAACTGAGGTCGAAGGATTCAATGATGTTCGAGCGCACGCTCATACGCCGGCTGGTGCTCACCTCATTCTTTCTTCCCGCACTCTCCCTCCAATCTATAGCCCGCAGAGAATACCATCACTCTCAGGGAGCATGACTCGCAATCTAATCTTCGCTTTCGCCGCACAATCATCAGTCATTTTCGATACTCTTGGTGTACGAATGTTGGTCAACCTAGAGAAGCTCTCTCACGTAGATCAGCACTTGCCGCGTCGCTGCGCCTTGGGAATACGAAAGCTCGTGCCAACAGCAGCGGGAGCTCCCGCAATAGGCAGCATTTCTTCCGCACCACAGAAGACGATCTCATGCGTTTTCGGAACGCGACCCTCGCGCAATACGGCCCGGAAGAATCCCTCGGTCAAACATTTGGTGGACGAGCTCGAAGCTATCTTTGACGGCCAGGATTCTTTGACAGAATCGAGAGTCACTGATTAAAGAAGCTACTCGGAGTGAGCTCAAAACAAGAGGCTCGAGTAGATCGAGAGTCGTAGTTTCAGCGACATGTTCTGGAATAGGTGCCGCGAGAGGGCATTCAGACAGCTGGCATGCTCGTTCGCTCTTGCAGTATTGCCTCAACGTTGTCATTTCTAGCTCATGATTTACTAATGCTGCCTGTCGGGGAACGTCAGCGAGTAGTCGACAAAGCGTCTCAGAAGACACATTTCAGAGAAGTTTCCTCGATCCGCCAAGAGGGAAAGTTTTTTTGTACCGCGCTGATATCAGGAAACATTCCCGAACCGATGTGGTAACGATAGGCTTCTACTCCATAGCTCAATGTTTGCGTCGCGTCGTCGTCGTCGTCTGTCAGCGTTGTTGCAAGGGATTCGTGGGGGAAAGGGTGAAACAAGTGAATTTCTAGCGTGCGCTCGAGACTTTGCTGGCGGCTCTCGAGCCTGATAAACTCCGATGCCGCGCAGTCGAATTATGCCGAGGAATTTCTGCTCGGGAACGTTTCTTCAAAACCGACGCTCTTAAAGCCATCATCATCAGCACCCATTCTCAGCGAGATCTTCCCGAATTCGATAATTCCGCTGGGAGGAGTCTCACGATTATTTTTTTTCGGACGGCAAAAGAAAACTCCGCAAATCTGTGTGATCCCTCTTGAGAGTCGGCTTTCTCGAGAAACGGAATCAACCTTAGGAAAGCGCCAGCCACTCGAATCGCGATTCATTGACGAGATCATGGTGCAATTACATGATTTTAAAGAATTCGTAGCCAATATTCCGTATAACTATAATGGAAATGTTCTCGCAGCTCACCGGGTGATCCTCTGCGGGGATGTTCTCAGACGTTCACACAGGGTACGAATTATCCGTTACCACGATCGCTTACTTAAATGTCTATTTGTATCACTCTCATCTGTCGGTCTCAGCTCATGGTAACTCGCCGCTGCGAACAGGGCAAGCAACCGACCCTTCGAACGGCTCTGTGGCGGCAGCTATTACAGCTCATACAGTCTAGGTCTACCGTGGGGAGGGCTCGAGAGGGCAAGGGAGTCGTAGTCGGCCAGCGACCAGGTTAGGCGCTGTTGTTGGTCAATCAGTGTTGCGCTGCCTGAGCCTTTGACCATTACTGGGAGGGATCGATTCTAGAGTTTCTTTTCCGCTTTTCTCAAGCAGAAGTGCCACCCAGAAGTCGTTTGAAACTGCTTCTGTGTGCCCTTGACTCCGCGGCCAGATCGGCCATGTTATGAAGATTCAAGCGTGGAAGAGGGAGCTGCAGCGCCAAGCTCAACATGCGAAACGGACACTGGGCTCACTGATGACAGCAGGTATCTGGCTGGCAGCAGTCGAGTTCCAGAAATCTATGGTTCTAAGCAGGAGTATCCGGAGTTCATGCGATATTCAGGTGCGATTTGCAACTCGGAAGATGGTGGGGGGATGTAATCTGGAGACTGACACTGATCACAGATACTGGCCTCCATACTGCGACGAGCAGGAATCAAATGGAGTTGGCTTCCCGCGACGGATAGGAATTATATTTCCGGATTTTTTTCACTTCTGCAGTCGCTGAACTATCTCACGCCCCGGAGCGATGCTATGCCTCGCGGTAGCCTGGGCAGAAATCCGGGACTCAGTCTCGAACATGGTTTACTTGGAGAATATCCACCTATATGAAGAGATTCGCTTCTTGAAATTATTCTTGCGATCCAAAGTTCCACTGCTCCTATGGCTGCCGGAGTTCTCATCGGTTCCCCTCGACGCGACGCACGGCAGGAATGGCCACCGGGGGGATCTGTCGGAGCTGACGAGATGGTCTTGCAGAGCGGCTCCAGTCAAGAAACCGGAAGGTTGCGGAGTGCCCTACTGCAATTCGTCGGAGGATAGACCTCGCTCCCTATGGGGAAGATCGATGTTCCGTAGGTACTTCAGTCCATACGGAGACACATGTTTTCATATATAGTAAAGATCAAACTATGCATCGATACTGAAAACCTCCATTCAAGACCGCGAGTAATCATTCAAATCCGAGCACATAGCCGATATGACGCCCGTTCAATACCCGAAAAACCTATCGATTGAAAACTGTGTACATTAATCGGTACCGCATTTTTCCTTAATAAAAATGAGATCTTCTGCTACCGAAGAGTTGTCATCGCGATCAGGGCTCTGTATTACTCATTATCCTCGAGCTTCCGCCGTACACTTCTATCAAACGTAACCATCGATCTTGTGCGTCTATTTTCGAGCAGGACAACATTGGCTGCTAGTATTCTGGGGGATGGAATCGGAGGGAAGTCGACCGCTCTCCTTGGGATTACTGATTTCGATTCAGGGCGAAACAGTAAGATCTGAAAGCTCACTGAGTCGCGTTACTCCTGGTAGGAGCACAAGACAACGACGACGCGACGGTGAGTAGACGGCAGAGACTAGTCAGTCCCGTCGATCACCCCGAACGAATATATTTTACCATCGGGTTGTGCGAGTCGGTGACTAGTGAACAACCGCGGCATGCCAAGCCTTTCGACGGATCATGACGATGTGACTGAGTGGTGAGTTTATACTTTTCGTTGATTAGAGGGAGGGGGTTGCGCGAACGCAGACCCCCCACTACCAAAAATTACATGCCCCATCTTTCCCAGTTTGGGAGAGTGGCAGGTCTCAACCCCGCCGAAGTGCAATGGCGAGGCCTCCTCCTGGGGTCTCCACCTTCATGATCATGGAGGTCCCGGCACCAGGTAAGTATGATTTCGTCAGCGGTCCCGCAGCTCAAGAGACGTCTCGATTCGGGGCTCTGACTGCTACAGGAATTCGCACCTCATCCAATTCAGATCAATTGTCTGCAGAGCTTGACAGAGTTCTCCCGGCCGGCCGCTTTTTGAAGGCTCGAGTCGGCTTTGTATAAGTCTCGAAGTCATCTCCATGGCGTGAGTTTCTCAAAACGCAAGAATAATCGCCTAATTTTTAGTCCGAGAGCCGGCGCCTGGCTGTAGCCAGACACGCCAGAGATCTCAAGCGTGTCTGGGATCGAACGCCGGTTCTCCTTGAAAGTCTCAGTCAGCTTCGCTCTTCACCTTCCCAAGACGTACGACAGAAGCTGAGAACAGCACCCGAGAGTCCCGAAAACTCCTGAGGACCTTCTCCGTGCCTGTGGTACAAGCAACCCAAGAAGTCGGCCGAACGTGAACCTGCAAGGGAATCCGACGGGCTACGACGATCGCGTGCGCGATGTGTTGAAAGCTCGTTTTACGCCAGTGGTTGACTGATTCCACCTCCGGGAATCCGTCCACGAGAACTTTTTCACCCTGGTGTGACCAACCTGTCGCAATACCGCCATGGGGATAAACATGGAAGACGAGGAGGAAGTGAGGCGGTATCTGGAGAACCTGAACATCGAATATCAGTTCAGCTGCTACAAAGAAAATAATGGAGAAGGGTGCTGTCTGTTGGGGGAGTTCATGCAGGTCGTACGAGAAGATTACCGGAAAGCTTCCGCAGCTTTCAAGAAAGGTTGTGACCAACATAATTTCCCCAAAGCTTGTTTCAAATACGGGGGTGACTTGTTCAGAGGTCGAGGGGTGAAGAAGGATCAAGCAAAAGCTCTGGAATATCAGAAAAAGGCTTGTGATCTCGGCTGGAAAGAAGGGTGTCTAGTCGCTGGTTACCAACTCGAGGATTTGGCTACCGACGGCGACATATTGGCAGCAACCGAATATTTCAAGAGAGCGTGCGATCTCAACTCAGACGAGGGCTGTGACCGAGCATCTGCGATGTATCACAGAGGGACGGGACCGATACCGAGGAATCTACAGAAATGTGTGGACTACGCAGTTCGGGCGTGCGATCTGGGGCACGCTCAAGCTTGCGCTAATGCTTCCTTCTTGTATAAACAGGGTATCGACGGTGTTCCGAATATTGCAAAGTCGGAGGAGTACAAGAAAAAAGCTCTGGAGATCCAGATGCAAGCGAGACGGAATAGAGGTTTTCAGATGGAACAAGGGATAGGAGAACCAGAGTGACTCTAATAAAGTGAATGAGGTTGATGCCAGCTGGTGTAGGCTCATATACCGTGTGAAAGTCTCACACTTAGGAAATAAAAGGCCTTCGTTCGATCCATGCATATTATCCATTGATATCGATGCTTCGAAGGAATGAGAGCGTCATAGGTAGGTAATATGTCGACTCTGATCGGTCCTACGACCCCTGATGCTGAGTTGCAGACTCGTCTTGGATCGGGGTGGATTCTGAAGTGGAATCGGATGTCACATCGAAGGGCTCCAGGGAGAGGCTCGCTGCGTGCAGTCCGTACTTCCCGAGCTCCATTTGAATTTTCCGGGAAGTCCAAATAATGTCGTGGCCGAGGCACAGGCTCACACTGACCAAGAATGACTTCGAATGGGAAAAGGCCGATGCATACTGTTCGACCTGGAACGAAGTCGACTTATTCAGCTCGATTGCCCGATCAGCGAGGTCGCATGAATTATCGGTTCATTCAGAGCTTCTTCCCCTCGAGAGCTCCTCCTACCTGGAGCTCGTAAAATGATATCATCATGTTGAAAACGAAGAGCACGAAATGACACCACAGCATGAGTTGGTGGTATCTCGCATCGATGAGCGAAACCGAGTTCTCAAGATGGAATTCGCTCCACGAGAGGTTGTGGATGACTACGCCGTGGAACAGAACGCATAAAACTCGGAGCCCTTCCCCGAGGATGCCCTGGGACTCTCGCCTTGGTCTCGAGAGGGATCTCACATCGATGATTAGGGCGAGGAGGTGACAGAGTACATCGAGGGCTCTGAAATTTTCAAGTACTCTGCGTTTGCAGAACCAACGAATTTCGCGTTTTCGGAATTCACTGCCGGATAGTTCTTGCACTGTCGGATTGACCGCTGAGACAGACTCGATTTCGTCGTTCATCAGGGACATCGGTAACTGGAAGCTCGACAAAAAGCATGAGAGCGAAGTCATGGGGTAAATGCTACTTATCCGACTCCGCTCCTGCGTTCGCGTCCTCCGGAGTCCGGAGCATCGGAGCGAAATTATCATTGAGTGACCGCTCTGCTATTCGCCATTACAGCCCACTATCAAGTAATATCGCGGCCACCTGAGTGACGAACCCTACAGATGGATTCCTCGGACATTTCCGAATTTTATTCTATCAACAAGAGCTGATCATCAGATTCCGGATATATTCTTAACTCGTCCGCCATGAAATTGAAAACTATCGGCTCGTGATGCTACCAGATGGCTCTAGTGATCTGAAGAAAATTTTCGGGCTGAACCACCCAGCCAAGGTTTGCCGTCCAGGGTAGTCTTTTCTAAATCGCTTCCGAGAACGGATCCAGAGAGGGACTGTAACCAGGAGCATCGAGGCCGACATCCCTCGGCAAGAAGAATTCGAATAGTTCTCCTGGAACTTACGCTTCTGCAGCACTGAGTTAACGTCACAAGAGCGGAGGGTAACTGAATTGCGCCTCCCCACCTGATTGACTCCGACTCCGTTGAGCAACTCTGGGAAAAGCAGTCTCTAGATTGAAACCAGGTTCCGGGCTTGTTCCCAGGTTCCGGAGTCAATGAATAGCAATCTTTTCCAGATCCTGTATGGCCGGATCGAGTATTGACTGATTTATAATAAGAGATTATTCAGATATAGCTGGCAAAGCGTTTGGAACTTCATAATCCAATCGACAGCCGAAGCTTTGAAGGTCCCCCTCTCGACCGAGAACAAGCAGACTAATTCGGAATCGGGTTCCACCCGGCCCATCAGACTTCCTATGGATTCTGGCAGCACGGCTCTTGGAATACGGTCCCGAGCATCGTGGCTACATCATGCTAGACGATGAGTTACGATACCGGCTCGAGAATTATTCTGTCTAGACTCGAGACTCAGTCAGTCGAGATTCGGATCTCTCATATTTCTGAGGATAATGACATTCCTGTGGAGATATGTGGAGACCTCGGGGGGGAATTCAGCATCAAGACACGACTTGTGGCTCACGAGATAAAAACACATTTTATTTATTTACATTTTACCCTCACTTGAGTTTCCTCACTCTATTTGGTTACGGCTTCAGCCTCGGCGAAGGCTACGTCCGCCCAGAATTTACTCCCGTACTGTTGCTCAATGTCGACGGCTACGGAATGAGTCGCTTTGTCTGGAAAGAGACTCTCCAGGGTAAACGATCGGTAGTGGAGATACATCGAGGAGGAACTATCAGACCTGAATTGACCGCCTGATTCTCACCATAGTCTTGAGTAAACTCCAGGGGGAACTCGAGAAATTCATCCACCGCGATGGTGTCGGCCGCCTTGATAACACCAATAATCTCGACGACCTGTCGGTCAGAAGTAGTATAGCAAGGTAAGAGAAGGAGCCGAAAGCTCCCGGGAAAAGTCCTTGAAGTTTACGAATTGCCCACCTGGTTCACCAAAGAGTTTTCCGGCTCCTCATTGAAATTGATTTTCACCGTCATACCGCAAGCCGACTCTAGCTTGCATTTGGTGCCGTTGGCCTGTAATGAATTTCTATCAGACAGAGACTACACGGATCCGCATACGAATTCAAGTCGGGGGGGAAAGTGTGAACCTCCCCCTTCTTCCAGCCGAACACATCCTCCAAGGATCTCTAGCACTCCTCGGAATCGAAAAAGCTTTTTAAATGCATCAATTCCCACCTCCAAGATTTTCCCGATGATGGAAACTCTTTTCCCCAGATGATCCTTGAGGAACTTGCCGGTCACACGCATGTTGATACAATTTTCCTTAACTGACTACGTCAGAGGGACTTGATTTTCGATTGAGCTGAAATCGCTCTTTTTTGGCGCAAAGTATCGTGTCCAAACACATGCTCCTTGTGGTGAGACTGATGGCGCGAAAATTCAAAAAACGGCCGCTCGTCTAATTTTCGGTCAACGGAGGCAGCGGTAAGATTAATTCCGCTAGATAGATTCTCCAATGTCTCGCTCTACAGCGGCTCCGGTTCCCTGCGGCGGGCCAGTGGCTCCTCATGGTGACACACTCTTCACACGTCAGTGGAGATTCAACATTCAACATCAGCTTATTGCGAAACATCGTTCTTTGATAACTTCGGAAGCCTGGAGCCATGGGGCCACATCCCTCAGTTTATCCTTCGCGTTTCCCCCACGAGGGAATCAACTGTCAATTCTCGGTCGGTGGAAACAAACCACAGACGCAGTCATTAATGATCCTACTATCAGCGAGATCAGGCGACCTCGACTAGCTGCCCTTATAGCCCTCCTCCGTGAGCTAACCTCTCACATTCGCACTGCCTGATCTCGCAATCTTCTTCACGCCAGCCGTTGAACTTATCTGAGGGAAACGCAAGATCTAACTCATCCTGAGTGATTTCATGGTCGACGCCTCGCCCATACGGAGCTTTCGCCATCGAATCGACCAAGGATCGATTATCATATCATTATCTTCAGCTTCTTTTTCGGAGCTCAGAGGTCCCTTGACCACGCTCCTTAACTTCTTGAGTGCCATGGACTGACGGGCCTCCTCATGCTGTACGACGACCATTCGGTGTAAATTTTCTCGCAAGAATCGAGCGCCGCCTCTGCCGACACTCACCGTCGTCGATGCATACGCGGGTACCACCATGACCAAACCGCAGCAGCAATGGAGAAGATCAGCGTCATCATCGTCATTCTATAGAACAGAATAACATCGCCGGTTGAGCTTCCCGAACTGCACAGCTGAAAAGCACTCGATTCGGATAAGTTTCGTAGAATGTGGCTCACGGCGCGCAAACGTCTCCTAGATGTCTCCGCAAAACAGCTGAGAGTGGCGCATGATGCATCTAGGCTCCTGTCGCGGCCTCAGTCCGCCAGTTACGCCACCAGATTCTCTTCGGAAAGCACACAAAAAGCACTCAAGGATCACAACACCAATTTCGGTTATGAGAAAGTGAGCGAGGACCAAAAGGTCGGTAAGATTGGTGATTGTGATCACGTAGGCTTTGATCAGCCCTGGTTGTTGAATCATGAGATATCAGGCTTCCCGGGGACTCTCTGCCTCCTGTCTCGTCTCACTGAGTTTCTCGCCGACAGCAACAAATGGTCAAAGGAGTCTTCAATTCGGTTGCGTCGAATTATGATCTGATGAACGATGTGTCTTCGCTCGGCATCCATCGTTGTTGGAAAGATCACCTGGTCGAGAAGATTCGTCCGGTGCCCGGTATGAGGCTTCTCGATGTTGCCGGCGGTACAGGAGACATAGCCTTACGTTTCATCAAACAAGCCAAAATCAATGGACTACGATTGGGGATTCGGAGCGAGAAGCCAACTGAGGTAAACTTGAGAAATCTCCTCCCCCTCTCCACCCAGCCCGAGAAGAGCCACAAGAGCTCCCCAGATATTGCACCACCTGAATTAGGAGAAAAATCCAATTTCAGGCAGTCGTCTGTGATATAAACTCGGCTATGCTGGCAGCCGGGAAAAGTCGCCCTGGTATTCCCAGAGGAGTATCGTGGCTTGAGGGTAACGCGGAGGAGCTGCCCCTCGAAGCCGCGTCGTTCGACGTGGTGACGATAGGGTTCGGCATTCGAAACGTGACCCATATCGATCGCGCGCTGGCGGAAGCTCTGCGGGTTCTGAAGCCCGGAGGCCGTTTCTACTGCTTAGAATTCTCTCAGGTCGAGAATCCGCTTTTCTCAAAGTAAGTTTCTCGGAAGCAATTTCTTATCCTGGGCGGATCATCGATGATGACCCGCCTCCGCAACATGAGCAATTGATTACTTTTCAGAGTTTACGACCTGTATTCGTTCCAAGTCATCCCTGTCATGGGTCAGATTTTCGCCGGCGATTGGAAATCGTATCAATACCTTGTCGAGTCAATCCGGAAGTTCCCCAGTCAGGATGTATTCTCCGAGATGATCCGGAGCGCTGGATTCAAATGTGTCTCCCACGAAAACCTTTTCAATGGCGTCGCCGCGATACACGTTGGTTTTAAGATATAGTAGGCTCTTCGCTGTTTGAAATCGAAGCGCTTCCATAGGCTGTAATATATGTTCAGAAGAATAGAACTCTGATGGAGTTGATGTGCGTTAAGAACGGAGAAGCTCATGTTTATTGATTTCTCTCAACGATGACTTAGAATATATACAGACTATCTTTACAAGGGTGTAAAATGCTCCCCATCCGAAGGGAATAAGGAAAGATTCCTCCGAAGAAGAAATCAGAGCAACATTAGCCCAGCAGATATCGCTTCGCCAAACCCTGCGCTTTTTTCTCGAAAGCCGGTGATTTGATCTCCGTGTTGTGAGTATAGAACGGATTCAAGGCGTGCTGTAGGGGATCAGAGGTTATTTCGCATGGCTGACCTCGGCATATTTCAGAGCATCGGTGATCAGATTTCAGAGGGCAAAAGATGTCGGCTCACCTTCGTATAGATCTCGTACATTTCTTGGAAGAACATTTTAATCCCGTCGTCGTTCTTGACGTTGTGCAGCATGAGGAAGCGCATTTCTGTGGGAGAAATACGCTGCCATTACGGAAAGTCATTTCTCCGACATCGCTGGATGATTCCCATTGTACTCACTGCTGGCCGTGACGAATGCTGACACGTTCCATTGGTTGAATTTGTCGACGGCTTTCAGGTACATCGACGGATTTTGCTGGGCATGGAGGTCCACGAGATCCAAGGCGGCATGCGCTACGAACTGATTCAAGTAACGACCATTATCTTCTCTCTGCAAAATGCGGGAAGGAACAATCCAGTTGAGGTTTGTGGCGAGAACTTGAGGCTTTGATCTAGGGAGCTAGGGCTCTGCTCGACTGAATCATTTGGCCAACGTCATGACAAGGGCGAACGGAATCGAGAGACTTCAATCCGCAAAGCCATCAAAAAAAACATATCCCGAACAAACCTTCTCGCCCTTCGCCTGGAATTCCATCTCGAAAATCGGATTGTCCTGTAGGGCCACTATCACGAAGTAGTATGAGGACATTCTCGAAGAAATAAGGTTGAGCCTCGAGCTCAACGGAGATTTGTACTCGGAATCGGCGAAGCCCACAGCCACAGCCCCACAGTCCACTCAGTCGGCAGTGCTTCTCAGAGATGTTGACAGTCGGCCTATCTGTGTGGAGTTGGACTTAAAAGGGGAGAGGGGTTCGGGTTGGATTATACCCGAGCTCGCGTTGCCAAGTTGCCATACAGGCTGAGAGGAGAAGACATGCCGAGGCCCCGCCGCTCTCGGCTGCCAATGGCACAGCGGCGCGAAAATTTGAATGCGAGAGCTGAGTCCCATTCTAGCCATTCTTTCTGTCTTTCTGTCCCATTCTTGTGTTTCTGTTTCCATTCAGCCATCCTTGCTGTTGACGGACCCAGATGAGTCACGGTCACGGGTGCACATTCGCTCCATCGCGGATTGCGAGCGTAAAGGCGTATTGCGGCCCGTAGCGGTGCCGATCACGGATCTTCGCTTTTCTGAAGTCTTAACGGAACCTGGTGCAGAGGTTTCTACATCATCATCTCAAGCGGTTTGTGGTCGCTCTCTACGCGGGGGTTATTCCGTCCGGAGACGTAATAATGGAACCCGGTGCATCCGGACAAGATTGCGAGCAAGTCCTTCTCGATTTGTGCGTATTTTTTGTGGGTAGCTGTGAGGGTTCTGCTCGCGTAGGCCAGCGGATGTGTTCCCTCGGAACCCTCCTGCAACAGCACTGCTCCGACTCCAAACTGAGCCGCGTCCACCGACGGGACGATCGGCAACTCCGGTTAAAAATATCTTAGGACGGGGGCAGACGCCATCGCCTCCTTCAAGCGTTCGAGGGCCCGCTGCCGCGGGTCCTGCCAAACGAAGGAGGTGTCCCCTCTGAGTAGTTCTCTTAACGGGGCCGTGATGTCGGTGTGAGAATCGATGAATTACGAGAAATCCGTCATGCCAAGGAAACCTTGAAAGTGCTTGAGGCAGGAAGGCACCTTTATCGAGCGTATGTCATCGATCCGACTTTGATCGACCTGTCGAAGATCACATCGAGGAACTTGACGCACTCTTTACCGATCTTGCACTCTCGTCTGTTGAGCACCATTCCTGAATCCACGCATCGTTTGAGAACTCTTTCCAGGCGGCCGTCGTGTTCTTCCTCCGACCTTTCCCATACGAGTATGTCGTCTAATATCCTCATCTCAAATATCGTCTCCACGGGCAAACTCAACGCCGAGGAACCTCTCCGATTCCCACGCCTCATTCGGAGAAAGAAAATCAATCGGAAGAATCATTGAAATTACGTCCACCTAAGAAGTCTTTCTTGACCAATGTGCGTCGCGAATGACTGCGCCTCTTCCCTCGGTAAATGTACCTCCAAAACCTCCTATGGAACACCGAAGGCTGTACGACACCTCGATTCGACATGCCGATGGAGCCCACGATGAATATGGCGTCGCAATTCCCGCTTATCGAGGGAGAGCCGAGTCGTGGCTACTGACACCAGACGCAACCCGATTCTGCAACAGATTCTGGCAGCGGCGGCAGTCTCCAGTCGCCTCGCCGCAAGCGCTGCATATTCCGCCCGAAGTATTCTCTGTCGATCGCCTGAAAAATCGGTCGTTTATGATCCAGTTCAAACTCCTCGTGAATAAGCGCCCAGAGTGTCTTCCAGTGAAGCGATTGACGTCTCTCCGCAGAATGGCTGCCGGAAACCCCGACCAAATCGTGGAGTCGTCAAATCTGACGGATGCCGATTGCGAGAAGGCGCTACAGCTCCTCGTCGGATGCTATGGACACCAAGAAAACGACACCGAGAGGATCCTATCGAATCCTCGCAGCCATACACGGATGCGCAACCGAATCCCAAGACCTGCCGAAGTTGAGGTAAGCCGTGACATAGGCGCAGTCTAACATCGCTCCGGCTGCGAAGGAAATCCAGCTCTCTTGATTCGCTCCGTCGTCGTCGGAAGCCGCGCTCCCCGCGCGCATGCGCCAAGAATTCCAGGACGCGCACCATCTGCAAGAAAGATTTGTCGAGAGCGCGAATTGTGAACAAAGTGAATCTTCCGATGAGCCGATCCTTCCCGGTCGCGAATGGTCAGCTGGCGGCTCCACAACAGCTTCATACACCGAGAAGGCGATCACCGAAGTGCGGAAGGTGATTGACTTCCTCCAAATTCGCATCAGAGATCAGGAGGATATCCGGCGAGGATGATCGCTCGAACGAAACCGAGAAATCTATCGATCGCCATGCGCCATCTAACCCGTGCTGCATCACTTGAAAATCCGGCTGCGAGCCGAAAGGCAAGTGACCTCGGGTTCAAGGTTCAGAACCCGCCGGTGTCTCTTCTGAGGAACCGCTCCCAATCAATGACAATCAATTACTTGCATCAAAAGTCGGACAGCCGTTGTGAGAAGTTCGGTTAGATCTAGCTCTGGTCCGACCATCCAGGGTCTGCGTCAGGGATTCTTTGCACTCGAAACTTCTCATTTGAGCCTGAAGGAATTCCCAAGTAGCAGATCCTTGCGATTCGGGCCTCCACAAATTCAGAGAAGTCTTCGGATCGATGCTCAAACGGATTGTCAGCTTCACAGTCAGGGAGCCAGGGACTCTAGAGGATTATTCATAGTTCAAGATTACAGGCAACACTCATAGGAAGTCTGAGGCATTACAAGAGGTGCAATTCTCGAGGATTCTTTCCAGAGCGTCCTGACAGAATTCAGAGCACTTTCTTCTTTCCGGGGGGCGACCCGGCAAGAGCCTGATCGTGTTCCGAAAAATTAGTCCACCCTTCTTTCTCAGAGCATCGATCAGTTTCCGAACCGCTGGGTGTGCCATTTTAGTTTAGGATTCGAATCCACGGTGTCAAGCTCCGATAGAATTGTCCATCAAGCCTCAACGCGAGTCGCAGATCGCAGCGGGGTCGCGGATAAGAGTAATCAATGCCGAGCTCATGGTTCCCCTCACAGGGATGATTCGAAAGCCTCCGTGGAGATCGCGCGCGAGGAGATTCTCCAAGAAACACTGATATTTCATCCTCGCATCTCCTCAATGACGAATGACCATGTCTGATAAGAGGAGGAACCAGAGCTACCAGAGCTCTGATAGCTATAGCTGCGCGATAGATCGAAATCGAGTACGTGGCTCTAAGGGCGCGACCTCTAGGAGCGAAAAGATACCCGAAGGAACAAAAGGTTCCACAAATTATTTTTGATCGGATGTCGTAGCTCACTCAGTCAGTCTACGGGATTTCCGTCCGGCGCTCTTGACGAAGGGGTAATGTCTCAACATAAGAGTGGGCGTGCATCGACCCTGGTCGGGAGAACAGCTTGGTGGTCTACGTAGGGGGTTATGTAAGTTGATCTATTCTCCTGCCGCCGCTCATCCTTTCTGAGTCCGGGATGGTGAGTCTTTTGTCGAAATCAAGCTGCCATCATCGACTTGCTTGAAATAGACGAATTGTTGGGCGGCTATTCTAAGATATGTCGATGATGGTTTCCCAAGCTGTCCCGATAATTGTTACATTTATTACTATACTTTCGAGCGGAAGATTACAGCTCGCTCTGTGTGATAAAATCATGACAGACGGTTGGACGAGAAGAGCGTGAACTTCTCCTCGGCCTCAGAGAAATGGAGTCATGGGTTTTCCTCTCCAGAGCATGTAGATTGCTCATTTCGTTTGTGCTTCTGCGATTTCAGGTGTCTCTCGAGGAATCCTTTCCGACTGAATGTTTCTGAACAAATCTTGCACGACGACGGTTCCTTCACGAGGTGAGTGATCATATGAGCACTTAAAGATCTGGATCGCTTGAATTTCCGTCCGCAAGTTGAACACCCAAACGGCATTTCGTCCGAATGAGTTAGTTTGTGGCCGTTCAGGCTGCTGCTCTGCGCAAATCGGGCGGAACACGTTGAGCATTCGTAGGGTTTTTCCCCAGAGTGCGTCCTCTTATGAGCAATGAGTCCCCCCCTTTGGGCAAAGCTTCTATCACATTCGTCACAAGCGAAGGGCTTCTCGCCAGTGTGTGTGCGCTCGTGCTTCACGAGAGCATTCGATGAGGTGAACCTTATCGAACATTTTGAACAGAGGAAGGGCCTCTCTCCGGTATGTGTTCGCATGTGATTTGAGAGATTACTCTTGTTCCGGAATCTCTGAGGACATTCCTCACAGACGTAGGGTTTTTCGCCGGTGTGGAGACGCATGTGAACTGTGAGTATCGAAGATGTGAGGAATGACGCGGGGCACACAGCACATGCGTACGGTTTTTCTCTGCTGTGAACACGGGAATGGGTCTTAAGACAAGTTGCTGTCACGAATCTTTTAGGGCACAATTGGCAAGCGAACTCCTTCACTCCTTCATGCCGGAGCATATGGATTTGTAGAATCTGTTTTCTCCTCAAGACTGCACCACAAAACTCATAAGGACACACAAACTTAGTAGCACCCGAGCTCATTTTCGTCAACCGACAGGATCGTCATCTCTTCACAACGAGACCGAGACAAGTTAAATGCCTCGCGGCGGGCGGGCGCCGCTCGATCCGTATGTTTTTGTTTTTCCAAGTGCCCTCTCTCGAGAATGAAGCTGAAGCCCTTTCGGCGAGTCCGAGTCGGCTTGCCCGGAGGAAATATTTCCACTGATTTCCTTTTGCTTGTCACCCCGGGAGTAATGAGCGAATCCGAAACGGAGGATACTCTGGATGACAACCTCGAGCTGAACTTCAGCCCGATCACAAAAGATCGTCTCGGAGTTCAATCCCCAGCCCTGATTTCACGGATGAATATCCGCGGGACTAGTTTATTCGTGACGCTGAGACTACGTTCGATGGGCTGGGATCCCGGGCACTCTTCAGTCATGATCTCGCGCGCTCCAGGTGACGGGTTCTGACGTACGTGTCATACGAAGATGAGAGTCGGATCAACTTGTCGGTTTATCGGCGTATGCCCTCTCTCTTGCCTATTCGCATGCAATCTCTGCTTCTGCTAATTCCTGCGGGCCGCCGAGCGAATCTCTCACCATCAGTAGCCGCTTAAGAGCTCACAAGCTGAGTGAGGACTCAGTTCAGAGCGTTTGCCTTCAGGTGGAGCGTCAGAATCGGATTCCTTGGCTCCTCTGCGCATATCGAGCGTTCGCATGGTATCGTTCCCCTGACCTGATAGCTATTATCAAATTGATCGACGATCTGAATCCTGAATACCTCTTATCTCACAGTTTTGCTGGAAGCAGGAACGACGACGAGCTGAAAACCGTGCGCGTCGTGATCCGCAGTGATATATATACATTCAGCGCGATTTCCTGTCAAACGGTTCGATGGTGCCTTATTTGATGTGATAAAGCGTGATGTATCCTGGTACACCGTGTCTCGAATCTCGTCGATGGTCGATTTGTAATGGGGATCGCGCTTGGAAAAATCGGAGAGACCGCCCGCATGACTTCCAGCAAAGATCACCATCATCATTGCTCATTCGATCTCCCATCAATGAATTTTACTCCCGTGGTAATTTTTCCCCCTACCTCCCATCAGCCTCAAGAAACGCACAATCGCACGGCATTTCGGGCATAGGTGAAGCCGTACAGAGGGTGAGGCTCGGGACCGCCTTCAGTGAAGGTCGGGAATCTGGTCTAACTCTCCTGCCGCAAATGAGTGCTCGATTCTCCCCAGCGGCAGTAAAAACAACAACAGCAGCACTCTACGAGAGCGAGCGAGTATCTTTCTCGCAGCTGGGCTCTGCCGGTGAGCTGACGAATTTCCGGACTGGTGCATGAGTGGTGAGGCTAGGCCGCTGCATGAGTAAGAGTGGTAGGAGTCCATTGGTGAGTAATACATTGTTGTGAGTTGTGAGCATTAATGATCGTAGACCGGCTCTTGAGTGCTCTTACGCGAAACCTCACGAGAACAGGGTTTCTGTGCGTAAGAAGTCTCCTCCGCTTATTGAGTATAGTTCTAAAGTCCACTCTTGGCTCATCGAGTCCGACGCTAACTCTCATCTCTCGGATGAGAACGGATAGTCGTGAACGGTGGCCCGCGATTTGGCAAACGGAAGGCGAAGGAAGCGACCGAGCGAGAAGTGACTCCCGTCGTAGACGACAACGACGACAGGGGACCCTCTCTACTTTTTTTCTCTCAGTCAGTACAATAGAAACAGAGGAGTCCTTGTGCGAGGCCCACGCAGGGTTTTCTATATATAGTTAGTGTGCCCGTTTTGGAGTGAATGGAAGGCTGATTGAAGGCAAGTGAAGTCGGCGGTAGCGACAACGACGACGGCTGTTGCCTTTTGATTCCGAAAGCGCGGCTCATTCCACGCATGAGTCCGTAAGTACGTGCAGTGAGACTTGACAGCAGTGTACGCAAGGGGCAACATTCGGTGGCTTGGAAGCCACTAGTCGTCGGTTTACGTCCGGCCGGTGTCGTGGTGTTGTCAAGTGCGTGATCCGTGGACTCGAAACGACGAACGAACGAAGTACCATCGATCGATCGAACGAATTCCGGAGAACTCTTCCACCTGAGAGCAATTACCGACTTCGAGCAGCTGGTCGCCGAGCTCTCCTTTGTCCCAGTGGTGGCGGTGGTGATTTCGAACGACTCTAGAGAGAAGCAAGAGAGAAGATCTCAGGTGGCCTTCCTAGAGTTGAAGCCCGTTGAGGTACACAGTGCTGTGGTGACCTTTGATTCCGGGTGGCCAAGTTGTCGGCAGTAGTAGTAGTAGTTGTTGTCGCTGTCGCCGTCGTCTTCATCGTCGTCGTAGTAGTAGCAGTCGTCGTTGTCGTCGTCGTCGAGTGCGTCGAGTTTGTTGCTGCTGCTGCTGTCGCCGCGGCAGCTACCGTCTAGCGGGCAGGGAAGCTTCTCTGGCTACCAGTTGTTCCGTTTACTCCGTTACAGTGAACGGTGAGAAGTGCGCTGTCTGGTGGTGAAGGTGGTGGTGTCGGACGCTTCGTCACCTTCAACATGGATAACTTAGACAACCTCCTGGCTGATCTTCAGTCTTCACGGAGAGACTTCGAGGTCAGCTACAAACGTTCAGGTAGTATGGAACGTAGCGAACGTATATCGGAGAGCTCGTCGCGTACCGTGGACCGTCCAGTCACTCCCGTGCAGCTCGTGCCAGAAACGGCTACCAAAGAACTGCAGTACAATTATCGAATGCATGACCCCATCTACCAGAACTCGCACGTCATCAAAGAAACCATCACGGCGCATGGTACGTCCGAGAGGGCCCAGTCGCCCATTCGGGCAGCCAACAATCTCTCCCATCTCGACTCGCTTGTGACCGTAAGCGACGTGCTTCCCTTATCCAACGGTGGCAATGCATGCGAGACCACTTCCGAGTACATGATACGAACGGAGCAGATGACTTCGTCGGGCGGTGGCAGGTCCTCGCCATCGAGACCCAAGTCCCCGAGCGCCTACATCTCCCACCATTCTTCCCAACACTATTCCTCGAATTCCTCGGCCCCCCGATCCAAATCCCCTCCCCACACCTACTACCGAGCCAAGTCCCCCTGTCCCAAGGTGAACTTCAACCACGAGCGCATGGTCGATGAGTTGCGATCCACCATCCCCAAAACCACAGGCCGCTCAGGATACTTTGTGCACGATTCCCATCGCGATGATTATTCCCATCGGAAGTACTCTCAGTCTACCGAGCCCGCCCCCACGCCTAAATCTTACAGAATTCATTCGTATACAGAGCCCCCGCGTCAGAGTCGACCGAGGACTCCAACGCACGCGTCGAACGCCACTCAGGAGCTGGACAGCCTCATGGCTTCACTGTCGGAGTTCCGCCTGCGCGACCCTCACTACAGCGGTGCGGGTCACCCACACAGGAAAGAGGTTCGTACCACCGTCTCTTCGACCTCCTCTCATTCGACGCTGCACCGACCTCAGAAAGAGATTCTCGACTCTATGCTCGGCTCGCTTCGCGACGACATGAATAGCCAGGGCGTGACAACGACAGCCAAGGGATGCTGTGCTGCCTGCAAAAAACCAATCGTCGGACAGGTTGTGACGGCGCTCGCCAAGATGTGGCATCCGGAGCACTTCGTCTGTGCGCACTGCTCCCAGGAGCTCGGCACGAGGAACTTCTACGAGCGGGACGGTGAAGCCTACTGCGAACAGGACTACCACAAGATCTTCTCGCCTCGATGCAGCTATTGCAACGGTCCAATCCTGGACAAATGTGTTACGGCTCTCGACCGCACTTGGCATCCGGAGCACTTTTTCTGCGCGCAATGCGGCCGTCAGTTCGGCGAGGAGGGTTTCCACGAGAAAGATGGCAAACCCTACTGTCGAGATGATTATTTCTCCATGTTCGCGCCCAAATGCGCCGGCTGCAATATGCCCATTACGGAAAACTACATCTCGGCGCTCAGCATGCAGTGGCATCCGGAATGTTTCGTCTGTAGAGACTGCCTCCAGCCCTTCCAGGGAGGCTCGTTCTACGACTACGAAGGCCAGCCGTACTGCGAAACGCATTACCACGCCAAACGGGGCTCTCTTTGCGCCGGCTGCCACAAGCCCATTTCGGGTCGGTGTATCACTGCCATGTTCCGCAAGTATCATCCGGAACACTTCGTCTGCTCGTTCTGCTTGAAACAGCTTAACAAAGGAACGTTCAAGGAGGAGAACGATAAGCCTTACTGTCACGATTGCTTCGAGAAGCTTTACAGTTAGACGATGTGAGTACGGAGGATTCGGACTCAGAACAACGCTGGACTCACGATGCGGTTGACGTTCGTGTTAAGACCTCATTAGAAACGAAAGAAACAATGAGAGTCCCGTTCAACAACGACTACAAGGGGAAGGAAACCTGTGCTTCACCGGTGTAAATGTGAATGGAAGGTCGCTCAATCGATAGCTCGGTCGATCGGTTGAAGCAGCGAACGAACGATTGAACGAATACGGAAATATCTGCCTTATTGTATCATTCTGAACCAGATTCCTCGAGCGCTACGCGAGAAAAAAAACTTGGGGGCCAACTAACCATTCTGTTTATAACGAGCTTAAACCGCAAAACAGACTTGATCGGGCGTACTCATCCCCTCAGCTGCTCATACTCTCACGTTTCCGACATGGAAGGGAACCGCTGGCCCAATAATTACGTGATCAATCGGTTCTGAGACGTCTCAGCCATGTTTCTCCGAATTGGATGTCTCATTGGATCCAAGGCGGCGATGATCGCCATCTGGGTGCTCCCTAATCATGGATGCTCATCTCTGAATGCTTCGACGTGTTTCAATTTGTGGTTCGATGGAAAATCGATCGGATGCTCAGGGTAGCAGTCAGATGACCTTTTTTCGTTTGACGGCCGGCAGAGAGATCAGAGAAACGCCGCGACGCATTGTTTCTGAGACCTGCGTGAATGGAAAGCTGCACCTTTGAATTGTTCACAGTCATCGTGTCTCCTGGTTTTCGCAGTAGCAGATCGATACTACTCCGGAGCCCAGGCTCCCTTGAGAAGAAGAGCCATCTATGGTTGCTAGAGAGAATTCCATAACTATAAAAGACTACACTACATCATACGATTAGATGCTCCACCACGTGCTGGCGTTGATTTCAACTCATCGAGTTCTATCAATTGACTCCTGGAAGAATTGTACTGACCTAGCTGCTTGACCGGCCCTCATTGTAATTAATTGTAACACGGAGAACGATAATAATAATTGATATGAATAAAGCCAAACTTTACACTAATGTTCCTCTGGGTCTTCCAACTCTTACTCCATTCGTTCGAAGCAGGAATAAACAGGAATAGGGATAGCTGATATGAAATGACCACGAAGCAGCGCAACATCGTCGAGCAATCGATGGGAGGGATGAGGATGCCGCGGACTCAAGCCGCGCGATTGAAGTCGGCCGAGCCCGTTATCTGATCCCGACTGTATGATCTATAGCCAATCACGTGCTGTGAAGCTTCAATCGTCATGGGTCTCACTCAGCTTCCCGATGATTGTTATTCCAGAGAGCGAACGCTGAGCGCAGCGCTGACCACCTCAAGTCACCCGGCAAGCTCTTTATGAGTTACAGGCCACGGGCCCGAGAGGAGATGAGCTTATATTTGGCGAAAGCCGTAGGCTCAGCTAAGAGAGCTCTGTAGAAGCGACCCTAGAAACTGAACCCAAACTGACCTTGACACCCTCACTGGTCATTTCGCGGCTGGATGTTTTGCATAACCGATGAACATCCTCAGAGAGCTTCTCGAAACCTGAATTCGTAATCCCGCCAGAATGCGGATTCCGGACTAGCGTGAGAAAATCCTCAGTGGAACTGATTGATCTCCAAGCTAGAAACGAAGAATATCTGGTGTGATTCTGTAGATATATCATCGGTATCTTGCGATACGGATGAGGTCAGAAGTTCTGATTTCTGAAGCAGAAGACTGTGATCGATACGCTCCCCTTCAGGCAGATTCACTCGGTGGCTCCGCGGTCAACTGGGCCGTCCCACTGGGTGGGTGTCCGGCTGGCGGCTGAGCTCTAACGAAAACCCGGCGGACCAGTCGAGCTTCGCGTCTATCTAGCCTGACGTTCGCTCTTGACTTCACTCTCGATATACTACCGCGCTAGATCGCTTCATCGGACCAGAGCACAATATCCGCGAGCAGGCTTCTCGCGAAATTCGAGAAAAAGAGTATCATCGTCTGAGACTTTCACGGATCCTAAGGCAGCCGGACTCTCATCGGCTAGATTGGGACACTCTCGCCCCATATATCCATGGAAATTGAGATGGTCCTTCTAGGGTGTGCGTCAACGCCGATAGTTGATGTCTGCGATGGCAAGCGTCACAGCAAGCTGCTGTTTCGGTCTTCTGGTCGTCGCGCGATGTTCGACACATTCCATTTTTGCAGTTTCACGTCCCACAGTCGACAGGCGAGAAGACTTCTGTAGCGATCCTTAACTGTGTTTTCTTCAGCCGTAATTCCGTCACTCACCATGGCGATTCGATAGCAGTCCGCTGAGCCGGAGAACCCATGAATCGAAGAGCGTCCGTCCGATTCAGCACTTTGGGCATCTCACACGACCTGTTATAATTTGGTCTCAGTCGCTCAGTTTCAAAAACCCTGACTGCAACCTCGAGAGTGTCGTCCGCGTGACGCTCGCTCGCGGAGAGCTCCTTCAAAGGGGACGATTCTTCTCTCGAAAAAATCCACGTGGAGCTTGCAAAAGTCGCTCGGGTCTCCGCAGCGGTCCGAAGCAGAGGGGGAGTCACGTATGTTTCGTAAGGGGAGAATAGGGTTCTCCGAGAGAATTTTGGGTGCCTTCCGGAGCTCGCAGCTGCGCGAAAACTCAGACAAGCAGATTGCAATGAGCAATGAATCACAACCGCTTGTTTACTTCCGCTCGCACGAAAATTTGACCTTGCAGCTCCTCCCACACCGAGCATAGAGACAAGATGAAACACATACAGTCTTAGTTGTCCACGAATGCGAAGGGAACTCGGCAAAGATCAGTGGGCTGAAGTCGGCTTACGATCTCCATGTAAGTCTCCTTTTATTCGCTAGCCTTTTTGCGGATTCAATTTTTCTTCGGAAAAGCGAAAATGAACGCGCTGTATTCTTCCCTGGATGACATCGCCCAACATGAATTCGTGCGTGGTTCCAAATCAGTCCATGTGACGAATGTTTGATTTGGATCGCACTTCGTTCTCAGATTTCGAGGTCCCCGCGGCGAGTATGGGGCAGGATATATAGGGGTAGGATAGGAACGCTCTCGGCTGCCAGATGGAGTACTGTTCGCCATCGATTCCCGCATCTTTCAATGAGCCTCATGACTTATTGGGGAGCGCTCGTTGATTTCAGATGTCTGTGGGTCATCGAGTCACGGGAGAGACATAGAGCAGAAGGAAGACACAAACTATCGAAGGAAGCCTGTTGTCCGGCAGTAAAATATATGTATTTCATCTTCAATCGGTAGACTTTGGTGCCCCATTGTATTTTTCATAGAGGACCATGCAGTCCTCGTCGCCGACGTGAACCCATCCATCAGGTTTCAAGTGATAACAGCGAACGATGCCTGGAAACGAAGGAGAATGAGATCGATTCCTTCTGACTCGAGTGGAGGAGGATCGTGAGCAATATCCGCATCCGGAACAACTGCGGGACTTTGATCTAAATAGGGATCGCCGTATTTTTGAGCATATATTTCGCAGGACTGTGCCCCCGGACTATAGAATTCGGAAAAGCTGTGGGGATTCTTCGAGGCTCGAATGACCTTCTTCCCAGAAGGAGGAGCGATAGGGACAAGCCGGATACATTCGAGCCAATTTTTAGAGAGGAAATCGTCGATCCCCGGCCCCATTTCCACCCACGGTCTCGGATTACCGCGCTCCACCTATCAGAGGGATAGCCGAGAGCGTAAATTACCTCCAGAATAGGAGTCCCGGAAAGTCGCAGCAGTGATCGCTCTTCGACCCAACTCGTATGCATCTTCGTCCTCGAGATCCCACTTGTAGCCGGAGTCGAGAACGCCGAGCGCATTGGGACTCCCTGATCCAGCAGAGAACATTTGCCCGGAGAGTCGGTTGCCCTCATCATCGACGTAATAGAGAGCAGGGCCTCGTTTGTCAAAACCCATAAGCATGACACCCAAGGATAATCCCATGCCTGTAGGAATAGAAGAAAAAGTCAATTAGCCTCTTCGATTCGAATGACCATCTGTTATAATGAGTCTGCTCTGGCGTACGCTGAGTGAGGCAGCTCACCCTTGTAACTGTAGAGCATGTTCGAGAAAAGTTTCGATGCCGCAGCCACCGATATCGGCTCCTTATTCCTCAGTTCATACAGTCGACACCTGGAAAAAGTTAGGACTTCATCAGAACTTTTCAGCAGTCATGTACAGAATCATTAATGGGCGATCAGTCTCCTCATCAGATCAAGGAAGAGAGCTGGCGTGTCACCTTTCCGAAAGAACGCGGAGCCAATACGAGCAGTCGGCTGCTCCTCCAGCCATTGTACCGAGCACGTAGCTATTGACGACGATAATCTGAATATTCCAATAAACTCGGTGAGATCATGCTGGCTTCGTGGTCAATCACAGATTCGCAGGACATCCCCAGCAGATGCCCCACATTGATCCTGTGAACCTACTTTCTTCACGGTGCCCGAACCGATGAAAGAACCGCCGGTAGCTCGGGAGTCCGCGCAGACCACGAGTCCTCCTTTATAGACGAAAGCACACGTGGTCGTACCTGCGGCAGAAAATGATAAGCTCGTGTAGTCGTCAAAGTTCCCCGAGAGTGTCTATTCATTCCTTAAATGCCAAGCCATCGGCTGTTGCGGACCTTTGTCGAAGTCGAGCTTCAAGGATCGTCCGTCAGGGCCTCTGCTCTTCAGGTAGGCAAGAGTCTCAGCTGGCTGAAATAAGAGTGTTCGACACCTCGATTCTAGCAATGCCCAGGGAGGGAGCTCGGATTTGTGCTCATTCTCTACAGAAGTTCAAAGGTAGCGTAGCTCACATGGGAGAATGGAGGCAAACAAATTTTCGTTTGAAACGTCACATTGCTGTAGGTGTCGTCGAGGTCTCTAAGAACGTCTCCCTCTTCGTGTTCGCCGCTGAAGGCTTTCACGAGATCGAGACCGACGTAAGTCTCCAATGCCATTCCGAAGCCGGTGCTTAATGAATCGCAGTCAACTTCGAAAACACACTATTTGAAATGTCACTGTTTACGACGAAGCTCTCGGAGCAGACGACGCGCCTCCTGCTCTCTCCTTTCGGGTGGCGCGGCGGCGAGATTTGAACTTGAGCTCAATCTTCGTAGTAGGTAAATTTTAAGTCGGTGTACAATTCGAACCTGCCGGTCCTAAATGATTGGATCAGCTCCTGAATAACAATGGAACTTGAGAGGAGTACGACGTCCGACTGTACTCTATGAGGAAATCGCTCAAAATCTGGATCGTTTTCGGCGCTGGTCAACCAGGTTCGATTTCGGTCAGGGAAGTGAGCAGCGAGACGAACTCCGAGGTGCATGACTACTCAGAGATTTCGGAGAGTCTGGGACATCAATGCACGGTCGAAAAAAACACCAAACGTGTCCCAGCTCTCCCAGAATAGCCTCGTGGAGGTCGAAAGATATTGAAGAAGTAGATATTGAAGATACTAGAATTAAAGCTCTCGCCCCTGTTATGGATATCCTATTTGGGCCGCAATATTGAGGACGCGGGGCTCGCAGCTCTCCTCCAGGTCTTCCAAATTTAATACGCCGATCTAGACATCTGAATTCATGGATCACGCAAATGGTCGAGAATATCCGAATAATAATCAGTGATCAATCGGCTGGGCTCCGGGGAACTCCCGAAGCGAGCGGCACCTTTTTCCCTAAGGGAACGATGTAGACTTGTTCCGGGCAATACCTGGAAAATTTCTGATTGTGATTCCTTGCTCCACATATATGAAGATCCAATGTAAAATCTTCTAGAAAATCCAAAGACTTACATTGGGTATGTGGGGGAACAATCTTGCGGTCGGTGCGATGTGTCGAAGCAGAAAACGATTTGTCTCAAGATTCGTCGTTCCGCAATGTTGGAATGCTCTAGCCCTGGACTGCGGCATTGTATCTGAACTTGATAAGTATGAACCTTCTGAATCTTCCGGCGGAGGTCCACCATTTTCATCAAAACTGCCTCGTCACGAGTCTTGACGACTTTCTCTATATTTTCTGGAATTTCGAATACAATTCGATTCTGATTCCGAACATTACCTCGGAGGACCTAACGATAGGGCCTCGCGGAACAAGCGTGATTCTTTCGTGACTAAATTCCCTGAATGCGGATAACATTCTCTCAGTCGCAGGAGCCGGCTCCGTGGGCGGCCGTCGGCTGACGCAAACGCGAATTAGACCGCTACCGAACTGCTCGGCACAGACAACTACCGGGAGGTTCGAGGTTCTGCATATCACCGGAATGAGTGATATCCCGAGTGAGTCTGGGCGTCTCATTACGAATCGGAATCAGGGAATGGGGGCAAACATTGAGCAGGCAAGCTCCGGATGAGAACGACGCGACGTCGGAAAGCATAAGGATATGAGTGCCGGCTCCTCTGTCGATTGATCGAACCCGGCTAAGAGGAGAGGGCCCCATACATAGCGATTCGGATCCCGGAGCGGGATCTCCGAGACTCGAGGCATGACTCATTCACCTTGAAAGTCTAACACGCAATCCAATTCCCATACAAGTGCAAGGTAGTCTCCGAAATCTTTTATGAACCTGCGAATCACATTTCGGAAGAGGCTTAGCGCGTTCAAGTTCTCAGACCTGATGGGGACTGGACAAGGCTCTACTCCATCAATTCTGGATATTATTATTATCATTGAATCAACTCACCCAGCCCTCGTGAGCGGGATTCTATCCATGGAGAAAGCCTTGACGAGACCATGATGGGCTTCTCCATGTAAAGGGACATAGGTCTGTTCGAGAGCAATTCTTGTCTCGTTGAGTACTCCATGAACTGCGGGGCAATATGTTGTACTCGATTTCTCTTCCATACAGAGACATGCTACACGGCAAGGGGAAACTCACGCTGTTCTTCCCATTCCGCTTCGCTACCATTCCGCGTCATCGTGGAAGCTATCATGGGCCGCACTAGCAATCTTCGCCAACTCCACCTGGGGAAATGCGGGGCCGTGAGTTTTCGGGCAGCGCGGCGCTCGAGCGTTGATGCTCCCGCAAATGAATGCCGAGAAGATTTTTGAAACTCCGCCCGAAGAATCACGCCGATCCATCAATCGCAGGTCGTCTTCTTCAATGTCCCTCCCGGAATTTTGATCCCTTAGTCCTCTTCGCACTCCCTGTGAACCCAGGTGACTATCCTGCGTGAAGCAGGAGAGTCCCATTCCTGACCCGATTTTTCCAGTCTGCGTTTTGAATTGCGCACAGCAGATCTATATACTTACCGCGGCACGTCTCTCCGTACATCACACGGTTGACCATTTGGACTCTCCATGTTGTAACAAAATCCTCCGATATGTACGTAGACCATTTCGAGATGCAGCGACTTGCCGAGGAACAGCCTGAGAATCGGCGAGAGGGGACATGAGTTCGAGGAGGCTGTCCATGATGAGAACTCAGCAGTCTCGAGCGGTGGAGCCGAGATGTGCAGATTTCGCCCGGGGCCGGACTCTGAGCTCTTCCTGAGAAGGATCGTCAGGAGAATGCTATTCTGAACTTCTGGAATCCGACTTACCCTCGTCCGTCGTCCGATTCCGACTGCTGCATTTCTGGAATTGTGGGTTGCACATGGGCTAGGAGTGGGCGTCCCGACCCCGGTAGGGCCGTCTCCGGAATTGACTCGGGCGGAGCCGGCGTAGCTTCCGCCATAAGTCGGAGCTCCCTCCGGACAGCGCTTTCCAATGTTGTTGGAGAAACAACAACCCACTTGCATACGACCCAGATCAGAGGGTGATTCTCGACGTATGAGTCGATCAGCTCCGGGGTCAGCAAGGTCATGGGCTCATCCGGTGCACGGAACACGCCTATCTGGAAGGACTCGTACAGGGAAGTCAACTCCTCCCACGTGTAGGTCCTTAACTCATCTGTTCCGAAATTAACGACGGTCAAACCCTCCATGAATGTATCCAGATTGATCAGACGATTAGCTTGATAAGTGCCAAGGACCAGATGAGGAGTTTGGGGATCTTTGAAAAAGAAACGCGTTTTCCTCTTAGTCACGGTGTCCCGAACGAGCCTCCCGTCGTCGGAACGTTTGAGAGCCTCTACGAGCGTCACTCTTGCTTTCAGCTTCGGATAGAATTCCGATAGGGCCACAGCGTTCTCGTTTTCATCGAGCACCCCGTAAACATCCTGATTCAAGCGACTCGTCTTGTATTCATATATGAGCTCTCTCAGGGACAGGTTTAGTCTTCCCCTCGACGGAAGGTATACTTGGAGAGGTTGCTCGGCGGTGATCATATCTTTAGCTTGTTCATAGGTCATGTTGTACACAGAGTCTCTGAGACGAACTCTAAGGGGCATGTCGGCGGGGATCGAACCCGCCCCTCCTCGGAGCGCTCTTGTGCCGTTGCGATAGCTATCAGAGGCCACCCGAAAACCACATAATATAGCGATCACAAGCGGCAATTGATGCAAGAGCCTCGACGGATTAAGGGCAGCGCGTCCGCTTCCTCGCAGCGGGCGGAGCCGAGAACCAACAAGCTTCCCAATGGAAATCAGCAGCACCAAGCCCGATAGAATTGAATCATGGAAGTCCATCGTTTTCTTCACAAATATGACTACGATGGGAGGGAATATATGCATGGCATGTGTAGGGGAGGTCAGGCCTTCGGGTATTCTCAGGCTTCGGTGAGTGAGAACACTTCAGTTGGCTTCCGGAGCAACACTACAGAGCTTGCGAGGACTCAATCACGAGTTATGAGAACTCGAGGAACACGGTTTCAAGGGCACGCTAGATCGATAATTATTCACTGATCGATATCAAGCGTCAAGCGGCATTCCGCCATACGAGATCGCGGATATTCTCCGATAAACGGCCGGATCTGACACATTTTCTCCTTACGCTTAGATATTCGAGACCGCTTCGTGGCCTCTCAGGGAGGAGACCCAGACTCGACTCTCGAGATGGAATCCTGTCCGTCTTGAATATCCCTCTCGAACTCAAGATTCCCATGACGACTCGACTTCTGGGTTGAGAAATGATTAAATGCCGATAGAATAGGATCGGGAACAGATACGTATTCCCGGCTGGAGGAAAGTACGACTACCGGGGAGTCACGCTCTGTAACTCGAAAAGCTTTTTGAAGGAACAAGAGAACATCTGGGCAGAGAGCGCATAGAAAAGAGCTCACACTGATGCACGCGGAAGCCCTATGGCGATTCAAGAGATTCGAAGCGTCCGATATCCGTTAGGAGAGTTCAGAGTTACCGGCTCTCTCTCACGCCAGGTCGATGACAACACAGTCCGAGGGATTGCGTAAGAGAGTTCAGAATCCTCAGCATTGCGCACAGCACTTTGATTAATCATACTCCGCCAGCATGAGCGAGATAAGCGAGGCCGGATGACCGAAGGCTCTCTCGACGGTGCCATGCTTACGGTACCATCAAGTACACCACGAGAGGCACCCATAGCTGAAAGGAAAATTCGACTGGAAAGAACTCAGGCAGTAATTTCCGGACAAGCATCGCTGGATCGGCTGAACGGCTAAAAAAAGTGGATGAAGCGGTCCAGATTGAATTCAGGAGAAATTACCCTCGACCGATATAAGAATACCGGAAGTGCGGGAGTTACCATGGAGCATCTAAAAGGAAAGACGCGAGGCAGCTGCCCCCCGGCGAATGCGAGAGCAGGATTCTTGCTGACCGGGAAATGTCGCCCTTGCACCGGAGACTCCCGGTTTACATTTGAGTATATAAATATGATTGGAGGCCATAAAACCATCAATCCATCGATTCAGTTCTCAATCGCCTGGCTCCGATATTGACACGTCCTCCTTGCTGTGAGAATTACACAACGGGGGCATCCGTCCGGCTGCGCATGTTATCTGAAAGCACACGCGTCCCGGCGCGTCGCCTCCCAACAACCAACAACCCCTAGCTGATACCTGAAGCGAGGCAGAACTCATATCGGAGCGATGTCACGCCGGAAGTTGTGCCAAGGACTAAGGACTGCACTGGAACATGATGATATGTGTATGATGTATGTGTATTATACGCTCAGCGAGGAATCGACTGTAGGAGCTATTCCTCTCCCTTGGGGGGGGAACAGCTTTCTAAGGGAGTCAAGTTAGTGAGCCCTCTCATCCTGATGGCCCTGCGATAATCGAAGCTCAAGAGGGCTACTCATTCGAAGACGACGAACCTTGGCATTGGAAAAAAAAACACATCCGTGCATCTCCTGGAGCAGATGCTTAGTTCCTTCGGCCACGAACTCTGGACCCTGATGCGATGACGGCCAAAGAGGCGAACCTTGAACCGCATGACAACCTCGATACGATACCGGTCGGAGAAGCCACCGTCGAATTCACCGACAATCCTCAGATCCCAACCATTCGATCGGATCTGACAGCGCCTCAGAGCGTCTTGGAACCATCCGCTCTTGTTGTCGGAGGCCATCCTGAGCTGAAGGCTCCAACGCCATTTCGGGAATCTAAATTACCGCGCGGTGTCGATTTTGTTTGTATTTTGAGTACCGTTGTAACCCTGGCTATCGTGTTCACCTACATCAAATCAGTCAACGAACCCAGTGGCGGCCTCGAGAGGACCATAGACTTTCAAGGTCTGTCGAGCTGCCTTCTGATTCAATGCAATGTGCTGTAAGTCCGACAGTATGAAATATGGCTTATTTCATCTGTTTCCAGCCATAACGGAAGCTCTGGATGAAAACACCGAACCGACAACGGTTTTCCAAGGTCCATACTGAGTTCTAAAGATAGGAGGGACACAAACAGTCGCGGTCAAAATATTATAGCCAATAATCGAGTGTATGTAGTACACACCAAATCCGCTCGATCGAACAAAACCTGATCTCACCGCAGATAGATCTGAGGAGTGGCACGTATTCGTGGACCGCATCCTTCTCTGTACACGCTTCAAGCTGATGATGTTGCGACCGAGAGAGAGAACGCAATTCGGCTCGGATAGAGTCTTCCCATGGAATTCCTGCGGCCGAAATGAGTCAATCGATGGCACGTTGTTGGCGTTCGGGGACTACGTCAACATGAAACGGGATGGCGAGGTCCTACTCACTGAAAAAGGTTGGTTTACGACTTCCTTCCGTCGAGCGCAAGCGTAAGCGTTACCTGTCTCAATCTCGATCAGTTGGGTGTGGAACGTCGATCAATATCAAAATACCGAAGGGTGAGGCTTCACTAATTCGGGGTCGAATAGAGGAGTCAAGCACGGTGCATCCGAATGCCCATTCACTTCCGCAGAAGACCGGCTGCAAGTGAGGATCCTGCTCCCCAAACTCTCGATCAGGTCGAAACTTGACGACGTAATCAGTACGTGCTGGATTAAGAATTTCAGAATCAAAGTGTCATTGGAAATCTACGGGCCCAGACAATCCAACTATATCCTCGAGCCCCCGGTTCGTTCTTCCCCAGCTCCATACGATCTCGGGCCCGGTTTGCGAATTTTCCTCACGAACTTCCCCCCTGATGGGTGGGAAAGGTAGACAAATGCGAAAGATTTTGGGCATCACTTAATCGATTCCAGGATGGAACGAGTGTCGATTTGCATATGTGCGCTTTGAGATTAGCGACGTTGCTAGCGACCGCATGCTATAAAAAGCAGATCAGGAGGCTGATCGAAAACGTTCAGGAGGCTCTCGAAGCTGCCACGACCCTCGCGACTGCGATGCTTCCGTCTCCAATGCCCGACTTCCGATGATTCTTGCCTGACCCGCATGACGGGTATCGGTCACTCCGTCGCGGATCTGTAAGCCCGGGGGGAATCTAAAATTGGGCACTCCATAATGGGGGATGCGTTCAGCATAGCAGTTCTCAAGCAATTCACTGTCCCACAGGATGACAATTCTTAGATTTGGACGTGAACGCGATGGGGCATCGCATAAATGCTTGCTTGTGGTGCTTCCAATGAACTCGGATTCCTCTTCAGATGACCGATGGAACCGTGGTCCTGCTCGTTCCTTGGGGGATTCAGAACTCATCGTCAATGAGAGTAATCATTGTGTATTTGGTACATTAGCTACATATGGACAGAAAGTTCAATAAATTAGCTTCGATTTGCGCGGGTAGCTCCCAACGCTCCGGTCTGTCGCTCTCACGGGATGCAAGTCCTGGTCTTCCTCGACCGTGGCGGTTGTCGTGGATTCCATGATGTTTCACCGAGGTCCACATTCACACCCGTGGTCTTCGGAAGCGATGTACATGAAAGCTGTTGCGAGAAGGCGGTCGGGTTCCGCATCACATCATACCTTCAGGAACGCTCTGCTGAATCCTTCGGACCCCCGCCCGACCGTCGAGTCCGGAGAAGGTACTGTGAGTAGGCTCATCACGCGACCACCAACTGGCAATTGCATTTCGTTCTTTCCGATTTCGATCTCACTGGAGCCGTCATCCTCTTGGTCCGGGGCTACCTCCTCGCAGATGATCATGGGAACTTTCATGGGGATCCTTAAAGCTTCGATCTCCATGTTGGAGGGCACAACCGGGGCTTGCGTCTGGAGTTTCATTGCACAAAGTTCGGGCCGCTGGTGGGAACTGCTCTCCAAATCCGTTGGTAAGTCTCTCGAGGCTTGTGGTCTGACTGCTGGCTTCGGACTGAGCTCAGAAGAACCGATCCAAGTATTTTGTAGCGGCCGGCGATCCCGCCGTCATTTCGTACCATCGTACGGAGCAGAGAGACAGATCTGGAAAGCGTGAAGAGTGCTTCGGTGAGAGGGTGCCTTCGGATGGACATGCCCGCTCGCACGTCGACATCTGCGTGGGAAAGTGATGGCGCGTTGGTCGGTCGTCAGCTTCGCTCATCCGCTATGCGTTGGTCACACGTAGGCATTTTACGTCAGGTTCGCTCGATTATCGGGAGAGAGCGTACACTCCTTCAAGCACCTGTATGCTGACGGGCTTCTCAATTATTACGCGATTCCGCGCATTAGTCGAGCTTGCTTCAAATGAAAGGGGGGCGGCGCTGGAGTTACTGAGCGATCGGAAACTAATGACTCGGTCCGCGGCTAAGTTCATTCCGACGACTCGGGCTCCCTGTCACTCGGAGGCATTGGCGCGATTAAGTTCGCGAGAGACCAGCGGTCGTCGCAGGGCCACTATGAAACGTGGCCGTCGCAGCCTGATTGACGTCAGAGACCTGAGAAGGAAGTTCGGGCGAGCTTTTAAAGAATTCAGCGGCGTGCTTGGAGGTATACCATTCAAGGCGCTGTTAGCTGCCCCTCAGCCGTCCTTCAACCCTCAGAGACCGGTCCCTTCGGAGCTCTCGTAAATCAGAGCTCGTTATATGTACATCGTTGTCCCGGCGGTCTTCGGCGATGGTGTCGTGACGTTTTTCGGGAGAATTACGCTCCCGTAAGTCGCTCGCCGTTTGACCCCGGCGGCAACCTGAAACGTTACCGAGCCGGAGCGCCGTCAAAGCGAGATCGGAAGGTCCCCACTTTTCCGGAACACACAGAACGGCACGTAGGCACCGAGCAATTTATGAACCGAGGGATTTCTGAGGTGGGGATATTTTCTAGACCCGGGGAGCTTCACCGGCCGCATTGAGACGCATTTGAGATTTCGCTCCAGGAGACAACAAATCCACCTCAAACCTGGATGTGTGAATAAGAAAACAGAATTCAGGAATCCGATCAGTCTCCCGCTGTTTCCACAGCGAAGCGAACTGTGCATGGGAACATCCTCATCGAGCGGAAACCTGGATCTGTACTGTTGGATATGATTATGCATCGCTTTGTGAGAGACCAGAACTCTGATTGAGAGCGAGTGCTCCGTAGAAGCAGACCGGTGACAGATTCAGAGGTTTTCCATTGGTTTGAAATGGATTTCCGACCATTCACTTCCTTCCGGGGGCTCCCTGAAAATCTTCCGATTCTCCGAAAACGATTCATCTTCCGAGCCGCGGATCGCGGATCTCTTCACAAATTGTGCTCGGGACGAGACTCCTGTAAACATCACAGGGGGATCTGTATCTCTGGTTCATAATCTAGGCAGACAGGAATAGGGGGACATCGCATTGAGGAGTGCAAGGCCACTTTTTGTATAGTTGATCCATCCCAAGACACGTGAGAGACGTTCTGAAGAAGCTGAGATCGCGTTCACGGAAAGAGGAACGATCAGCGTCGTATCCTCTACCGCGACGGATTGTGCTCGTCTCGCGATGGGGAGGTTGGGAGATCGATATGAGCTTCTGGAGAAGGAGTGAAATCGGACCCAGAAATTATGGAACGTCGAGCTCAATTGACCTCCTGAGCGCATCACCTCCTCCGAAACTCCGATTCTAGTCCGGCATACTTTCGGAATCTACCGTAGCTATACACCGGCAAGTTCCGGGAGAAAACAGGGTATGCTTATCGGAGCAGAAATTCCGGCTCCGCAAGTCCAACACCAGGTCGGAGCGATATCCTCCTTTAATCCCGGGAGCCGGATGTCACCGCTCAGATCTCTGCATGTAGAGCTCATTAATAAATTCAAGATAAGGATCAATGAGATTCACTTCGTCATGAGCGCATAGCACAGCAGATCTATATATTTGGCTTCTCTTTGGCCGTTTTTTACACAGTGATGGCTTGAGCAGTCGGAGCGGGAGACTCCTGGCCTCGTGACAGTAAGGGAGAGTTACATCTCATCATGAATTGGAGTCCGCCTATCTCCCAGATTTCGTTTCACTTTATCGACGGCCCGCTCGACAATTTGTACGAAATGGTCCTTGTCAAATCTATAGTTGGCGAATTTCTCGTGTCCCTTGTGTTTCTCGTCATCGCCAGCAACCGATTCCATTTTCGACAGATCAGTCAAAGTGAAGTATCTGCGGGTCAGAGAACATTAAATTATTATCAGGATCGCTGAGTCTGAGACTGCCCGGGATTTCTCAAGAATCAGTCGCAAGGCATCGTTCTGTCGGAACGCAATCTATGGGATAATACTCACGCCCTGCCGGCCAGTCGACTGAGATCCGAGTAGCAGCTTGTGTCGCCACAATTATACACTTCGAAAAGAGCAGCCCATTCGGGTAAGAACAGCACGTGCGTCAAACCAGCACCGTGGATCCCTATGAAGATGTCGGTGTTGGCACTTATCTGAAAAACATAATCTTATTCCGTGAGGACAGGATACTACTTCTTTCAGTGGAATTCAAAGCGTCGGGTGAGAAGAAAATTCGGGTCAAGGGAAAACCCCAAGCTGGTGCGGTGACTCACGCTGATTTGTTTGAGGAAGTCCATCTTGAAATTGAAGTCTACTTTCATGACCTGAAGGTCCTCGAGTTTATTCAAGGCATCGAAGAGCTCATCTTCGTTAAGTATTCGTCTGGTATCTGTGCTTCTCGTCAGGAATGTAACTCGGAGCTTCCGCGTAGGTCTCTCTATCGGAACGTTCAGACGGTGGAGTGTATGTTCCCTAGGAAGGATCGGATGGCAGAAGCCGATTTATTTTTCAATGCTCTAGCTTCGGGCTGCCGAGGAGGAGGATTGATTACAGAAAACGAGGATGACGATGACATTAAGAGCTTCCCCGGAGGTATTCTTACCTGAAAGCTTTCATTAGACCGCTCCCTTGGCAACCAGGGATCAATGGCATATTGTAGTAGAGTCCGAAAATCATTCGCGGCAGGAATGGCATCATTAAATTTTTGAAGCAAATCCTTCCCTGGTCTTTGAATTCGGCGATATACCGCAGAGGTTTGTTAGTGATAGTCTTCCACATGATTTCGAAGTTGCTCCTATAGGGATACTGGAGACGGAGACAATATTTTCACAACAGATTTTCGTGTAGAATAAAAACGTTCGAAATATTCGAGATCGATGGAATCGAGAAGACATCAGCTCGAGTTCAGGGGAGAAATCCTATAAATACCCACCCCGTCCCAGATGATGACGTTGACGTCTTTGTAGGCGCTTCCATTGAAGTGGAGAGATGCGTAAATATTGACGAAATCGCAGAAGTGATGATACATATTTACAGTTGCATCGAGTTTCACTACCATTGTCGGCTCCTCTATGACCAAGCCGCAGTTCTCCGAATTGAGTTGCTCGTGGAAGACTGTTGGAATGGCTTTGAGAATGAGAGGCACCTTTCCGAGATTTGAGGCGCTCGGAGTACGGGGAAGTATTCCGATCCTCAAGATCAACACGGGGATCCCCCTATCGAGAGAAACTCACCGGTGAAGTGTTGCAACTCGGGATACCAAGACTGTAAGACGCCCTTGTGTTGTCCGAGCGATCTCCATCGGGCGAGATTCAGTCTGCAGTGACCTCCGATAAGTCCCGAACCGAGAATATCGTCTCGGTATTTGACTGGAGGCTTGAGTGACTTCAGCTTGGAGAAGTTGATGAACACGTTTCGTAAACGACATAGTCTCGCGTTATCGACACACTCTAGCACACTATCGCCCTGCAACCCGAGAAAATCGTCAATGTGGTCCCGAATTCGGCTACTGGCGGGAACGCGAGAAAATCTGCTAGTAGGGGCTCAGTCGATTTCTTACTGACTCACCAATTCTGATCCTCGGCACACGATGGACATTTCTCGCAGATTCTCTCGGATATAGCCGAAATCTGCGGTTTTGAAGAACTCGCGCTCCTGTGCCTCTCTACCTCCTCCACTGGTCCAGCCTTTATCTGATCCAGAGCATTCGAACTTGTGGAAGCGATTATTGATGTCGCAGCTCTCTTCATAGCCCCAGCATCTGTTCTCGGACAGGACAGCCTGCAAAATATTCCTGATCTCAATACTAAAATTCGCCAGGAGGTGTCCGCGTTCTATGAGATGGATCGGGGAGAGGGGGCCCGGACTTTTCAGAAAATTAGAGCCTTAAGAAATTACTTCGCACCTGACACTGAGCATCCCGGTGACACTCCTCCAGGAGACTGTCATTCAATCGAGCCCACAACGGTACATGACTGCGCGGAACATCTAGCTCATAGAGAGCATATCCACTGACGATCCAGCCAGCCACGAGTAAAAAGAACATGAGTATTCTCATTAAATTCCCGAAATGAACAGAGGGGCGCTCAGCGATCAGCTGTAGCTCCTGAGCTCCGCATGGGCTTCACACGCACGGCTCAGCAGTTGGTTCGAGGTCTCATTTCTGAGTTGGATCCTCGAGGTCCGGGAATTTTTCGAAGGCAGGATAGGGATCACAAGTCTGACGCTGGTTTCCGTCTTCACGTCGAGTTTCGACTATCCTCACGCCTACTCCTCTGATCATGGGGCGGCACTTCGGTGCGAAGCCGGGCCGGTGAGTCCAGCGGCAAAAGAGGCGGCACGATTCGAAATTCCGCGGGCTCCGGGATTGTGGTGAAAAGGAGAAACAGGCTCGCGATGAGGCCGACATACTACATACCACCAGGAGGAGGAACACCGACGCTGATTCTCAGTTCACAGACCAATCCTTCGGGGATCGATGATTCCACGTCGCGTATCTCTTCGGCAAGCCGAGCAGCCCGCTCGTACATATGGCGGACTCTCAATTCGGAAGTGTCTTTGTTCGATACCATGCTCCGAGACATCTGAGCTCGTCGATCTCGAGCTTAGACGGTGAAAGCATTAATCCAGAAATAGCTCCAAGTCATGAGTCTTCGAGGGGGTCCTATAGGGTATCAAGCGGAGGGGGGGATTATTCATCCCCCGATGGTGACGATTTCTCTACGAGTTGAATCCGATGAGGAAGAGACGAATTAAGTACTGGATCATAATCATTGGGTAATTATCAATTATTGGATTGCCGCAAGCACAGCAAGGAGGCCCGCTCCGCTGAAAAAACTATGTCTCCGGGAAGAAGCTTTCATGGCGCCAGCCTAGTCCTGGCGCGTTGTCGGTAATTCAGAGTGTTCGCTGAGCTTAGACCATGACTTGAGCTCCCGTGACAAACGTCGGGAGACACGACACGCAGCTGTCGAAATCTGTATACACGGAGAACAGTCCTCTGGATTCGTACTCTCTGTGATTCCTGCCGTATTCGGGAACTCTGCGGTGTCTGTCATGTTTTCATGACTTTCGCGCAGTGAATTCTGTCTTTTGGGTTGACTTGAGGATCGAGCATGAGTCGGTGAGAGGAACCGCGTTCGAGAATTTACTGCTCCACTTCACAATCGCTTTGCACGATGGCCTTTTTCTTGATTGCGGTAGCGAATCCTCAAAAATGTTACTTTCTCTCCCCGACCCCCGCTTCCAGATCCGATTTGATGGGAGGGTTATGAGGAGGCACACGGGAGCCTTTATTTAGCTATTTTCATGGACCTGTCAGGAGAGAAGCATTAAAACAACGAAAGTTGAATCGAGACTCGGGAGAGAAAAATTCGCGGAACTGCCATTGCCATGCCGAAGGATGAGGATTCACAGAGGGAGCGAAAACCTCAAGTATATTACTTCGTTTTGAATCCAGACAGAAAACTCGAAGATTGTCTGCAAGTCCTGAGCCAAATGCAGAGAGATGGCTTGGGTGCTCGGTGGTTCTCTGTCGGGACGATCTCGGAGCCGAAAATCTGCAATGACTATCAATACAGTGCGGCAGAAGAGTATGAGGGATTCATACAGTTGAATAAGTGTTTCAAAGACACTCACCCCTTCATCCAGCAAATAGCTTTGTATTTGTGCAACTATATTGTAGCCTTCAACGAGGATCCAGAACTTTTCAATATCCCCGACGGGTTACTACAGCCAGCGGTGCGGACGAGGCTTTACTTCGCTCGATATTGATCATGCGGTAAGAGTTCATGAACAAGAGTCCGTGAAATAAGAATCGTTACTCCGACGAGGGAGCGTGCGAAGTAATGAAATTGATCGTTGTGACATAAAAGTAAAATTGTGGGAGATGCCCTCGAGTCCGAGGATTTCGCTTCATTTTTGTTAGAATATGCTTCTGGGTATAATGGGATACACCGCGGTCATCATACACTGTATGCTCCGATTCTCTCGTGCCTTCTCTTGCCGTTGTGCTGTACGATTCGTCCTCTGGCGGGACGATTGGAGTTCGTTGCGGAGAGGGCTGCCCAACATGCCATCCATTCTAGAGGGTCATTGACCTCGGCTCGTTCGCGCGTCCTTGTGGTTGAATCACTCGGCCTCTTGACACGTGGAGGGGCATCGCCAAGCGATTAGGCGGGCAGTTTACGCGTTACTTGATGTCAATGAGGTCGTTGACTGGGAAGTCGGTGATAATTTACTTTCCGTTGGCTCAATTGCGGTTCGGAACACTGCCTTGATCCAATTCCTCAGGTACGGCGCTCTTTGATTCGATACCCCGGGGAGCCTCTAGAAAAATGACAATCTTCGTTCGCTTCGCTTTCAGGTAATTCTTTCGCTCAGATCTCCGTGGTGTGAGGCTGATTTATTTTCCGAAAATAAGGGTGAGCTCTCCGACCAGCGAGGATAGTTATCGTCGTCCCTTTACGCTTGGCGCGCAATCTCGACTTCCGCCCTTGTACCGTGTTTACTATTATTCCCAGAATTCCCTCTCCTGATAGTCAATCAGTACTGGTTTAAGTTGTCGAACGATGGTTGGAATAGTCACGCATAAAGCCCACCGGTACATGTCGATAAACCCTCACCATGCTAAGGAGGGGACGGCCTTGCGAGTTCGGTGACATCTGTTCTCCTCTACTCATGCTGACGGATCAAATGGGTCGGCGAAAATTAATGTCGCATTGAATCCCAGACAGCTTCATTACGGAAATTATCATCAGAGAAGCATCATTCTACTTGTAAGAATAAAATACTGGATGATGGAAGTGTCTCTGCGGCAGCGAATATAGTTTTGAGACATCTACGCAATGATGCCTTGCCGCTGATGGATTCTCGAAAGTCTACGCGCGGAATATGCTGTGCAGGAATTCTAGCTTTCCACAATTCACTCTTTAGATTACAGATCGCGGCAGGCTTCCTTTCTCGCTTAAATCGAGCGTAATCTCCAAACAGTACAAAGACATGAAAGTAGGGCAACGATACCCGTGAGGCATACTTCCAAAAGGCAGGCAGAAAGGATCGATCGCGAAACCCCATCACGTCCCAGAGAAGATTTTCGAATTTTCTGCTCGAGTACTTATTCTATGTATAACTGGCGATGGGGTAGGGTTCGAGTTTTCGTCGCGATGTCTGATCGCGACCGCGAATTCTCTTTGAATCGCAGAGCGAGAATCCCGCGAACGCCCGGCTTCAAAGTCGCAATGAAGGTCGACCCCTGGTCATCGCAATTCACCGCAGCTTCTCACGCAGGCCACTTGAATCGGTACGCGGACGACGAAACCTCAATATCTCGTGATCATAGCGGATATTCGGGGTCAACGACTGAGAGATTCCTCATTTCCGTCTCTGGTTCGAGGATATCCCGTCCCTCCCTTTCCGATTCTTTCCGAGATGTCCTTGAGTGGAGGAAAACTCCTTACGAGCTCAACGAATGAAGTACCGTTCCGCATCACTCGGCATCGGCGAGCTCCGAGAAGGTTCGTCTGATCGAGAGCGGAGATCTCGAAAGCATGTGACCCCCACATCGATCTCACTGAGGGAGTAGTTGAGCAATTATTCAGGAGAAAATGGATGCTCAGCATTCGGACCGGATAATGGAGAGTTTCATTCACGGGGGGAAGAGTGACCCCATTCGTAACCGATACGGAAGACCCCAGACCCATCCATTCGATTAAGAGTCTTACGTCGGCCTGCAAATCATGGGGAGAATAATTATTAGGAGAGGGCGCACCCTGGAATCGGAATGATTCGTTCATCGCGAACCCCCCCCCCTCTCCCTGATGGAATCCGAAGAATTCCGAGGCGGTTGAGAGGAGACGGGAATCAGGTGACCTGTCTTTACCTAAGGAGCTCGACGAGGGATGAGGATTACTGTCCGAGATCTCGAGTTCACCGTCCTCTAGTCTCCGCCCATGTGAATCGAGAGCTTTTGCTCCAGATAGGACAAGTGACAAACCTTGAAACAGCGATTCATACTTCAAAGCGCTTCCAATCCTACCCGTGTGAAGAGTTTATCTTTGGAATGTGAGGACGAAAGGAGATTTGATCGAACTCAGAATGAGACACAGAAGTCAGTCACAGAATGCCCTACTGCGTACAGCTTTGGCGAGGGGATAAGTTTCTTTGGGCGTTCATTCGCCCCGATGCTAGGCGCCGCCTTCCCAGCTCCCAGCGGAAGAGTTTGCCTGCGAGGGACACAATAAATTCCGCGCTCCGATGCCGTCTGCCTCATAATCCTTGGTGACGATCCACAGGTGCGAACTCGCGATCCTCCGACTCATCTTCTTTCAAGGTATGAAGATTGAACCTCTCGCACACCTGGTGCCCGATTCTCTCATGCCAAGAGTGCGGCGATCTCCGATCGAGGATTCGGTATGTCCCGACGGTGCCAGCCGGGGGTCATTCACCCGTTCAGCCAATTCTATTCAAGCCGCATCCTCTGATACTTTTCCTATTCCAAAACTTGTACCTGCAAGAACTTATATTGCACGGACTTCAGTGTTATGGGGTCCGCATCCGTACAAGGCTTGCGAACTTGTTTCTATGTAAGCTCCTTGACTGGACCGAAATTCACATCCTTGAACTGAGCGGGCACTTGATTTGACGATCCTGTCACATAAGTGCCTTCTAAGTTCCGCGATAGCTCTGGTGGACTGAGCTCGCCATGCAGGGGTGCGGGGTCCCGTCAAAACACGTCTTGTCCCTTGAACACAGCCCTCTCATCCAATTTTTCGTCGTGTAGAGTGCAATCGAGTTAGGACTCCCACGAGTCCATGTCGGACGAGGCCATTGTTACTTCCGAATCCGGGGAGAGTCGTTGCGGGAGATCCGTCCGTCGGACGGTCCGTCAGACCCGCGCGGAAACGTACCAGCTTACCTTCGACGAGCGCCAAATAACGTGGGGTCAATGACCTTTATATCAAGCACCTCTGTTCCGAATGACCAGCTTAAAGAATGAGAAAGGGTTATTCCGATTACGTAAGAGACACATTGACACAGAAACTGTGACGGTCTACTGTGGCGGCACACTTTTGGTGAATCCCGGAGACCATTCCGTCATCTCATCTCACAGAGAGAGTAACCTTCCAACAAGGACTATTCGACATCCTTTCGTTAGGTTAGTGCAGGGAACCGAACTTCGAGGTGACGGAGCCGTCCCTCGTGCTAGAGGGCTCAAGACCAGGATCGGTATCGTAATCTCATGCATTCAGTAAAGCGCCAGCGTGCTCGCGCAGTCACGTGTACCTGCGCAACATTCGTCGGCGCTCTTGAATTTTATCGGTAATCGAGTTACTAGTCGAGCAAACTAGACGTCGATATCCCTCCTCTGCGGAGGACCTTGACTAAGTCCGCTCCTGGTTGCCAAAGAAAGACGGTGTTATGTCGGAATGTCGATGACTTTCCCAATCGTGTTCAGTCAGCGCCGGCGCCGCCAAACTATTCGACGGCGATTCACGACCGTCCCCGGATGGTTATTCTCTATTTGAATTAAGAAGATTTAACTCGAACGCATATGAAGTTCGCGAAGTTTTCATGATCATTTTCGGTCCCTCAGAATGGAATTTCGATATGTCGAGGTAATGCAGCCTACCGAAATTCGTCTCTCCGCCTCCTCAGATGAAATACCGAGATTTGAAGAACTTCGCCCAAGAAAGACTCGACAAGTTAGCTTTGACTTGCCCGGTGTACGATTGGGAGGAAACCGACGACATCGTGAAAATTAACGCGGTCTATCCCCAATGCGAATGGAGGCTCGAATCGCCTGCCACCGATCTCGCAATAGTGAGTCGATGCTGCGACATTAACGATATCGCGGAGCGCATTCTCGCCGAAGGACTCGGTGACAGGTTTTCTTCCTTCTGACGTTTGAAATTTTCAGAGACAAGATTGGATGCACTGGTATTCTTGCGATCCATCGACCAAAAATTACGTCGAGATCTTTTTCGAGAGGTTGCAGCCGGGAGTCGCCGTGGTTTGGGTGAAGCTGCAGGTAGACGGACGGCTTCTACTTCTCAGGGAGAAGGTTTATAACGACAACAGCGACGGTGAGATTCTGCGCTCGATGCTGCCACTGATCCACAGGTTCATTCGACGAAGGGGCTGCCAGAGGAGACATCTCCTTCATTTTCAGGACATTCGTATCATGCCGGCGGGATCCGCCTTGAGTGCACCGCGCCTATGAGGCTCTGGAGGCTAGCCATCAATACGATGATGGAAGACGTCTCCAGTGGAGCGGAGGAGCGGAAAGTCCATGTTCGTTTCGGCAGCAGAATGTCTGCTCTTGGTCACACATTGGAGCTGCCGAAGGAGAACTCTGCATCCTTCTTGGCAAGGAAATTCTCCGCCGAGGGAAACATAGGACTCATCCAGACTGAAATTTCCAAGTGCGTTACCCACCTCCGCCCCCTGGGCGCCATTCCCGTTGTCTCGTGTCATCAACGTGATACTCGTTCTGGATTCGATGCTTGATTTCTGTGACCAAACAAGAATATCTAGTCCACCATCGCGGTCCCGGTCTCCATCCTGCCGGCTTCTCATCGGGAATACAATTGAGAATGGGCTCATCTCTCTCTGATCCCTTGAAGGTGCTGCGCGAGATCCCAGGCTATACTTCAGCCTTTCACGCTCTTCGCGGAGGTCATCGTCGGTGGAGATCGACAGGAACTCGTACTCTTCGGCTCGCGAGTGAAGTTTTTCGGTGACTCGAGATTCCTACAGAATGTGCGACACAACGTTCTTTACGCAGACGTGAGTCGTAATGGATTGGGCGAGTCTTTACCCTTTCTCGCAAAATCTCTGATAGAAAAATCGAAGAAGTCTGGCTCTCGGATTCGTTAAGGTTAGGAGAGGATTCTTATTTTTGACAGAATGGAACAGTTGTTGCCGCCATGGAATTGACTGGGAGCAAGAAGCTATACGGGTACTGCTTCGACCCGAGCTTCTATACTCAACCGATTCGGAAAGGTCGCGTCTTTTTCAACGAGCAATCCGTCATCTGTCGAGGCTCCGTGAAATCCCTTTGCATGAATTTCGGTGAGTATCCGAATCGGTCAGCTGAGGAGCCATGCGTGATGGTGATGATTGAATCCAATCAGAGACATGGAACCTGAGGGAAAGGGGCCGAATCCCTCAAGAGACGTTTAGAGAGGGTACTTCCTTCTTCACTCTCCCTGAACTTGAATTGTAGGAGAGAAGAAGCAGAATTTCAATCTGGAGCTGAATACTGCGATGCCGATTAGCACTATCAACCGGAGTAAGGTCGACGCCTGGCTCGTGGAAGAGGTTCACGGACAGCTCGTAAAGAACAGAGAGACGTTCGGAGTACAAGGCACTTCGTTCATCCTCCGAGGGGATTACAAACTGCCGGAGTCGAAACTATTCCTGTGGGTCCCTGGAACATTCGCTGACTGTAGGGGTCTCTGAGCAGCACCCCAATAGACTTTCGATTCCTCAACGTGATCCCAACTCTTGATGTGATTTCGCAGGTGTGCACTGTCTCGGTACCCCGCGGACGATTCCTGTAAGATCGTCAGTACCCTGCAGCCAGAGAGCAAGAACGCGAAGCTCACGGGCGGCAAAGGATCATCGTTGGCCGTTCTCACGAGCTTGGCTGCTCATCATGAAACGGTAAAGTCTTTTCGAGATCACGCGAAATCCGTGAAAAGCAGATGTGTGCGACTTCGATTTCCTGAAGCAGAATCCTTCATCTCCGCGGCATTTCCAGTTCAGCGTTCCGGCGGCCGTGATCCTCACGGTCCACGCGTACAAACAATTTTCGGAGACGTCCTCTGTCGAGAAGAGCATAGGGGAGCTCCTCCGAGCAGCTCGAGGAGCGGATTTGGTGGAGCTCGGGAGAGCTTCAGAAAGCTGCGTACGAGCAATCAGCCTGATGGCTCTTCCGACGGAGCTCTCGGACGCGGTAGGAGAACCTGGAAGAATTTCATACTCGTCACGAGAAAATCTGCGAATGAGAACCCGCTGCGACCCTATTTGGATCGAACTCTTGGCTCAGCTTGCAGGAACGATGCTCGACACTTTCGGACACGACTGGCAATCGATGAGTTTTGCTGTACGGTCTTCGGCGGTGTGCGAAGACTCGGAGGAGATGTCCGCTGCTGGACAAATGTCAACCTTCCTAGGAATCAGAGGGATAGATCAACTCTCAGCAGCGGTCGTCAAGTGTTGGGCGTCTCAATTCGCTCTTACGGGTGAGCTCCTAGCCGGCACATCCGTGTCGGCGATAGCCTCGCCGAGCCCGATCGACCGACTTGAGCATCAGGAACTCGGCAATGCTCGCAAACTGTCGGGGTATAACGGTATGAATAATTGCAGCCGTGAACTACAAGAGACAATATGGTCAAGAGCTGGACAGTCCTATGGCCGTTGTGGTACAGGAGATGGTCAGCGCCGAATGCGCGGGCGTCATGTTCACCTGCGATCCGGTCACCTCTGACCCGTCACGCACCTTGATAACCGCGAATTACGGCCTTGGCGAATCCGTCGTCTCCGCTGCGGCAGATCCTGACACGTTCTTGCTGAAAGGAAGGGGCAAGGGCGACATGGAGCTCCTGGAGAGAAGGGTGAGTGAAAAAACCGGGTGGATAAGTAAGATTGAAACTTGGCTCCTGCCGGTTATAGCGACCGATAAGCGGTTTCGACCCTGTCCCTCAGCTCGGACGAAAAGAACGAATGATCGTAGAATCCGGGACCACGGACGGCACCGAAGAAAGAGAGGTTGGAGCAGAGTCTGCTAGTACTTTCTGTCTATCGGATCTGGACGTTGTCCGGCTCGCGAAAATCGGAGCACAGGTGGGGCCCTTTCTTCAAGACTCGAGATTATGTTCCGGAGTGATTGCCGCTCTCACGCGATGTACCCATTTGACCTATGGCTCATGTTGCCCCTTAGCTGAGTGATATCGCCGATTCCCCTCGAGACTTCGAATGGGCGATCAAGGATCAGAAAATCTTTTTCCTGCAATCCCGGCCAGTCACTTCATTCCTCCGGGAAACCGATTACGAAATTCGTCACGATCTCAACAGCGCGTTTTTCACGAATCGGGAGATATTCACGAGAGCAAACGTGGAGTGAGTTTCTTTCGAACATGAGATCTTATTATGCTCCATAGGTTGTTTCCGCTCTTCCTCCGCGATTGTAATTCGCAAAATGATTATCGATCTTCAGCGAGGTCATGCCTGGAGCCCTCACGCCTCTCAGCGTGTCAGTGATCTGCCACCAGATATTCGGAACTTACTGCAGAACGGAGCTCATGAAGTCGAAGATGTTCGAAGCCGACAGAAGCCAATATCCAACTTTCCAAACATTATGCGTCGGGAAGAAGCAATACACAGACATTTCTAAGGTTTGTCGCGGGCAGGAGGGCGGCTTTCCAGCGCAGATTCGTATTGAGATGGAGTTGCTAGTAGGAGAACTCGATCGAGGAATACCAAATTTCATGAACTGCGTTCCAGAGCGTGTTCTCAAGCAAGAAGTCATTCCTCGAAGGTGCGTCGTTGATAATGTTCGGCTACGATATATCTGAGGATGAGGCTTTCGAGCGCGGGATCATGCATGATTCAACGACGTCGACCAGCATGAAATCATTGAGATACATGTTTGACGTGAGTGAAGCTCGAAGGCTCCGGTCGAGTCTTCCCCATTACGTAGAGCATTTTGTTGAAAAGATGAGATCATTGAGAGTGTTTTGAGCTTACTCAGAGCGCTGTTGCAGGCATTTCGAAAGGTGAAGAAAATCGTGGCTTCCGCACAAAAATACGTCGATGAAATGCAGATCGATCTGCCGGCTGACGCCGATTCCCTGGCGATGTTCTGCCACGTCATCAAACAACTACCCAAACTGCAAGAATGTTTCGTCGCGTTGGTTTTCTGCAGCCTACCCTCCGCTTTCTACAGCATCGTGATTCTCAACTTGCTGAAGAAGAGTCAAGGTGAAAAGAAGAACACTCCGGAAATCATGGTTCTCCTCTCGAACCTCCTGAAGTCCGAGCACGAAATCGAGAGCGCGCTGATTCCGCGAGAGATAACGGTAAACTCACCGCAATGCCTTCCCAGATTCCGGTATGCATAAACCGAACGCAGGGTCCTCTACCTTCCCCATGAGATCCATTCGAGCTTTTCCCTCTCGTAGGAACTTGCGAACGCCATCTGTGAAGATCCGGAAATGGAAGATTTCTCCAAGCTGGACTCCGCTTCCGCTCTGATCCGATTGGAATCGAATGGAGGTCGAGCCGGGGAACTATTCAGAGCCTTCCGAGAGAAACACGCGCATCGTTGCTACAAAGAATTCGATCTTCACTCTAAAACCTGGGACATCGACCCGCTTCCTCTTATCCACACCGTGAAACTGCAGGTGGAGCTCGGGAGACAAGAGATCGAGGCCGGGAAACTCCTGTCCCTGGAGGAGCTACCGAAACAACCGGGTTTTCTGATGAAGAAGCTTCTGCGTTTCTTTGTCACGAGAGCTCACTACCAGGTTTACGCAAGGGAAGCTGCGAAATCAGCGATGATCAAAGGCTTCCATAAGTTCCGGCTTGCGCTGCGAGGAGTAGGGCGGCAGCTCCATTCGGAAGGGCGAGTCATGGATCCCGAATTGATATTTTTCCTCACATGCGACGAGATCTTCCGCTTGATCTCAGACAGAGATCCAAATCTTATGGCGAGGTATGTTCCGGACTCGGACCGCATATTCTGTGACCTCTCATTACGTGCATAGATAACCTTAAATGCCCTTGCTGGGAGATGAATTCTTCTCCATCAACCTCAGAGCTATTCGGAGACAGAAGATGCACCCTCAACTCGACAAGGAGCGGTTTCCAGTCTTGTTCTATGGGATGCCCAAACCGGTGAGACTCTAGCGGGTCCTAACGCGTGTAATTTTCCGTCGGCACAAGTGCCACCCTATTACTTCTAGTAGTGAATCATGGCTATTTCCCGATTCTAGCTCGACTCGGCTCCTGCCAAAATAAATCCAGACCATCAGAGCATGAAAGGTACCCCGGTCAGTCAAGGAGTCGTGACTGGACCGGCGAGGGTGGTACAAGACTTCTTGACAGAGGCGCACCTGATCCAGAGAGGCGATATCCTCGTCACACGTGCCACCGACACAGGTTCGGTTCCACATAATATATTTTTTCAAATTAAGGGTCGCACTCGTTTCTTTGATTGGCCTTCTTGATTGATCATTCGTATGTATTCCAGGCTGGACTCCATATTTCCCATTACTCGGAGGAGTGGTGACTGAAGTGGGCGGAGTTGTCTCCCATGGAGCCGTCGTTGCGAGAGAGTACGGCTTGCCCGCTGTGGTGGGCGTTTTCGGAGCCACAGATGCTATCGAATCCGGAGACGTGGTTGTACTCGATGGAGACAACGGGATCCTGATGATAACGAAGAAGAATTGAAGACGGGGAAGTTAGAGGAAGATCGATCACGCACTCTTTGAACTCACGGTGTCGGAGCTCTCCAGATAATTTCGACTCAATAATCTATCTATCGAAGCTCCGACTATCGGAGAAAGTGCCATAGTTCTCAATCGAGAATGAAAGATCTGTCGAATAGACTGCGTGATCGATTGGAAGTTTCCGGTTATCTGGGTTGCGAGACAACGGAGATCAAAACTTCAATTCCGACTGGCGAAAGCCTAGACGGGATCCACTGAGTGGCTTACCTACTCATGTATTCACTCGTCAGGTATCGCATACGAATCGATTATAATGCATTCAGATAGAAAAAAATAATCTAAGCTGGACTTCATGATGAAACAACAGTTTTTTATTCGACCTAATTCCCCGGCAAAACATGCCTTTTCATCTAAGTCTGCTTGAAACCCGCTCGGAAAGAGGAATGACTGTACATGAGCTTCTCTGCTCGACCCCGGGAATCTCGGTCCCCCCTTACCCCAATCCGATTCGACTACAACGGAACTTTCTATCGTCGATTCAGTGACGATTCTTTTTCTCGTTCATGGCTGCCTGTACGCATTTCGCCATGGTAGCACTAGCTCGACTGATTGAGTCCGTCATGAAGAAGTCTTCGAGACCCTTCAGTTTGGTGTCCAACTTTTCGTCACTCCTCAGAGCTGAAGCCAATTTTCCGAAGAGGGGACCGGCCTGCGGAAATCGAAAAAGAAAATCGTCATAATCGAGCCAAGACCCAATCAAGCGGATGCCTCCGCCGTGACGAGGAGTAGAATCGGAGGGTCGATCGGAAAGTGTCGATTAAGCCGATGGAAACTCACCTGAGCAAAATAGTTCGCCTCTTCGACAACGGAGTACTTGACGAGGTTGGGTGCGATCTCCGACATCCTGCCTCGGAGCTCTTCGATGTTATCGTACGGCAGACCGACACCGGCGAATTCGGAGAGGGCTCGAATGATCTTCCAATCTTCACGAGCGAGTCCAGGAGGGGTCACAGCCGGGAAGGTTTGCTGAGTACGACCCTCAGTATTCACGTAGGTCGCCTGTTTCTCCGTGTAGGCGCAGCCCGGTAGGATGACATCCGCCTGTTCAGCACCACGGTCCCCGTGATGGCCTTGGTAGACGATGAAGCAGTTCTGAAGGTCCTTCCGGTCGACGGCTGCCTCGTCGGCGCCCAGCATGTACAGAAGAGCGGGTTTGTTGGCCGCGATTTCGTCCGCACCGGCTCTGTAACCCAGATCCAAGGCCGCGACTTGACCCGCGACTCTGTGAAGCACGTTGAAGACTTTCCAATCCTCGGTGGTGTTTTGGAGACTGAGGGCCAACTTATGGGCCGCGCTGTAGATGGCGCCGCCGTCCTCCCTTTGGAGCGCTTCGCTGCCGACAATGATCATCGGTCGCTTCGCAGTCTTCAGTCTCTGAGAGAATTCGTGATTTCCGCTCGCTAGATCCGCTATCGTCTTCGGACTATCGCCCAGGTGATCATAAGTGTAGGTGAGGTCTACTTTAGGTCCGATGACAGCGACATCGAGCTCGTTGGCGATCCACGATTTGCGGATCCTTGCGTTGAAAACCGGGGACTCGAAACGGGGGTTGCAGCCGATGATTAGTACCAGGTCAGCTTCCTCGACTCCGGTCAATCTCGAGTTCAGCAGGTAATTTGACCGAAGGTCGGTCCCAGCGCCGTCCATGGGGAACTTCTCCTCGGTACAGAGAGTCTCGCATTCGAGGTGGTTCATCAAATCCTTGAGCGCAGTCAATGTCTCGGCATCGCTCAAGCCACCGACCAGGGCGGCCATTCTGTCGCCCGGGGTGGTGGCGATCTTGTTGGCTACTACCATGAGAGCCTCCTGCCAGTCGCACGCCTCGAGCTCCCCGTTCTTGCGGACCATGGGAGTTGTCAATCGCTGGCGCTTGAGACCGTCATACGAGAAACGAGCTTTGTCCGAAATCCATTCCTCGTTCACGTCGTCGTTGTTCTTCGGAATAACCCGCATAACGTCACCCGCCCGCGTGCTCACGACGATATTGCTGCCGACCGCGTCCAAGACGTCAATACTCTCTGTTTTCCGGGTTTCCCACGGACGCGCTGTGAACGTGTAAGGCTTCGAAGTCAGAGCTCCCACTGGGCACAGGTCGATAACGTTGCCCGAAAGCTCGGAGAGGAACATTTTTTCGACGTAGGTGCCGATCTGCATTTCCTGACCACGGCCGGTCGATCCGAGTGTCGGGATACCGGCGATCTCTGAAGCGAAGCGGACACAGCGCGTACATTGAATACAGCGAGTCATCACGGTTTTGACGAGAGGACCGAGATCCTGGAAGGTTGCAAGGAGATTTAAAAATAATGAGGGGAGAAACCCCAGCGGTTCGATGTTTTCTTCTAATTGCTTTTGTCGCATATCTCCGTTTCTGTCTCTGATTCTGTTCAGCGAGTTCCTTACCTTATCTTCGACGGCTCGTTTGCCCGTGTAGTTTACGTCGGTGAAGCGACTTCGGTCTGAGCCAAAAGCCATGGACTGATCTTGAAGGTCGCATTCACCACCCTGGTCGCAGATGGGGCAATCAAGGGGATGGTTGGTCAGCAGAAACTCCATGACACCTTCACGAGCCTTCTTCGTCAGAGGCGAGTTCGTTTTGATCCTCCATCCTTTCATGACCGGCATGGCACAAGCCGCCACTGGTTTGGGAGACTTCTCCACTTCGACGAGACACATTCTTGAATCACAAGAGTCGGTCAACTTTGGGAATTTTAGTCGGACGGTCGGTTTTCAAGTTTGGGTTTCGGCTGCAAGGCTTTACGGCTAGGAGTGACAGCACGTCAATGAATCTAGCCCTCAGCTCACGGAAGCAGTCACGAACCTGCAGTTTCCGGCGACGCTGAGTCTCTCGTGATAGCAGAAACGAGGGATCTCTATTCCAACCATCGCTGCCGCTTGCAGAACGGTCGTCCCAGGCTCCACCTGATCGAAACAATATGCATTATTTTGAAACGCACTGCCTCTCATCGGCCGGCCCCGGCCCCGGCCGAGGACAGAAAACACTGTCAAAGGACTTGAGCGGTTCCCGACGCAGTTATAATTGAGCACTGGCAGATTGAAGCTCTTTGGATACGACGAGTTTCCTCGCGTCTCTTCGTCTCGTCGATGTATGGAGGAATGATTTCTGATTCCACAAGAGCAGCTACTGCTCGTGAGTGAGGAGTAAGTGACTTCGAGGGGCAAGCGAGACCTCTCCGTGGAACCAGAGCCGACTTTACGATCGGAGTTTTGAGGGAAACCGAGGTCTCCGGCGGGAGGGAAAACAGCTACACCTAGAAACCGTAATCCCAACTTACCATGACCGACTGGTCATCGATGAAGACCTCTATCTTTTCTGGGGCTGAGGCCGCGGACCTCTTCTGGACCTGTAGAGCATTGCGTAGCGAGCTCGAAACGCCTCGACGCAGCATGTTTACCCCTTTTCCACCAAAACACCGCAACACTTCACTGCTGCTTCGAGCAGGCAGGGGTCACTTCTCGTGTTTTCGTTCTCAAGCAGACGACAAAGAGTAGCAGCTGCCCGCGACAACAGCAGAATAACGTCAGCGGGCCTGGTCGGGTTCTCCTTCTCGCGAGTACGTTTGTCTCCTTGCTCGAATGCTGTGGAGCATATTTGCCGTCTCTCCAAGTGGGAATCATTCTCCGGAGCACTGTGCGGCTTCCGAGTGAAGCGGTTTCTTGGGCAAAATGTATGCGGCATGATCCGGATATTCGGTACCGCGCGACCTGTGGAGTGGAGACGTCTTCTTTCAAGCATAGTCTTAGAGTAGGTCTTTGAGCCGATCCACACCCCTCATTTGTCGGAGGCGGGCCAACGCGGGAGATTTTCGCTCGATACTTGATTTTCCTCGCTCTCACGTGTATTCGTTTCACGACTCTTTGCTGAACTTGCCTCCATACTCCTCGAGGTTTTCGCATACGCTCTTTTTTCGGAAGCCTGGACTCCGAAGACTGTCCTCCTTTCGTCTCACGGAGTCAAGGTCCGAGCCAGGGATGAATCAGCTCAGTCACAGGTCACAGCTCGATAGCTTCGCCCGAACTCGAGCGCGATACTTCGGCGGTCAATGCAGCCGATACGACCTCAATTCGCGTCGGGAAAGCTCCAATCGACTGAGCGAGCTCGCGGCCGCTCTCTGAATTACCAAAGAAGGATCATCCATCCGAGGATCGGAATTACCCAGATAGTCTGGTCTGATTCTTTTCCCCTTATCTACAGTTAGTGGTAGGGCCATGCGTCGATTCCCTCTGAGCGGAAATGGTGTGATTTGATCCGGAGAGGGATGCCGGCGAACCCGGCTCAGCGCCCGGATGTCGAGCAAGCGGCAGCTCCACCGAGACTATCTCGGTTTCCTGGAACCTTGACCGATATTCCAACAAAGAAACTCCTGCAATCGTAGATTAGCTTCGTATTCAAACATAATGAAAGATAACACTACGCGCTGCTGGAGCTCAACGACCGCTGCCGACAAGGAGTCTTGATTGCAAAGCAAGATCGATGCCTGGGCACGTCTCTTGATCCCACGACGTCATTCGGGTAAGCGGTCCGGAGGCGGATGGCAGAGACTCCCGGGAGTTTTGATACTCTTCAGCGGATGCTCTGGAGCCTCCTGTCGTAGGCTCAGTGCGAGTACGCCGGCCTGCGGCCGGCTCCGGGAAAGCTCCGCAACCGTGCTAGGCTCTCCTCAGACTCACAATAGGACAAGAAAGCCGTGGAGATGTTCGACTTCGCGTTAACTAGTCGTCGAGCGTGATTCTCAGTGATTAACAGAGTTCAACAGCACCCGAGAGCAATGATAATCGAGGGGGGAAAATAAGTTTTCCTGAAGCTCCGTTCGTCGATATGCGGAAAGGAAATCGATTCTCGGGAGAATGACAGGGGCCACAGTTTATTCCACCGGCCGCGGACCTCGTTCTCGAAGCGAATTATCGGGAGCTCAAGCTCATCTGTGGGTGACAGAAGAAGCGGAATTGCGGAATAGAATGGAGCCGACAGTGTTCCGATGATGCTTAGCTCTATCTCGGCGAATTCCTCGATCGTCCGCTCTCCTGATTCTCTGGCCCGATCACGTTTTTCAATTTTCCAATAATCGATGACAGCCCGGCGGAATTAGGATCTCCTTCGGATAGAGAAGACTCGATGTAATTACATCCTTTCAATAGATGTGTCCAAGAGTGCTTTAAGGCAGGGCGTGACCCCGCGAGCTTCCCCGGCGACGATGAATTTTTCCATCCAGGGCTCGAGAAACACCCGGCTTCAACTCAAGGCTTCGGAAAACTCCAGAAGGCCGCACCTGTATTGCTGTTTCCAACGAAGTGCGACTCTTAGTAGGTCCATCGGCTCGTCATCGACATTCAATTTTGATAATAATTTTGACCACTCGACGGAGCGCCGGGAGTGAGAACGTGAATATTCATCACTCAAAAAGCATATACAAGGAGCGCTCTGAAAAAACAAAATCATGAGGTTAGGTGTATGCTGGCGCGCCGCTGTAAGCCCTGGGAGACAGTGTATCTTCTCCGGTTATCAGACCGAAAGAAAACGAGAGCCGGGATCACGCGGATTCTCGCGTAAACAGCTTTGAAGATGCTAAGGATACTTTCTGCTCGAAGCAAGATGCGTAGAACGCGCTTCTATGTAGTAGTCCACAGGAAGTACGTAGGAACACCTGAACTTTAATCAGCTGTGCATTCCGATGACGGGTAGAGTATACCGGGTGCCGTGGGTTTTTAGGATACCGGAGCTAGAGACTCGCCAATTCCACCTCCGAGGGGCGACTGCTTCCTGCTCTGCTTGTACCATTTTCTGCTCGCTCCGTAGACTTAATCTTCTACTCAAGTGATTCTCTCACCACACGTTCTTGCATGGGAGATGGAGTAATTGCGGAGTGACAACAGTGATTCTACGACCTTGCTCAAGGACTGTTTTGTTTCGGCGCGGAATCTTTGAAGAAGAGACTGCTTTTCGAGCGGATGAGCATCATCCTGATCGCCTCCGAGTCATGGGACCCGAAGGCGAATCGCCCGAACTGGAGTTTCTTCGGAGACGGGAGTCCTTCAATAATCTCCGCCGTAATTCGTGGTAAGCTTCGTGAAGGAAAATGAGGAAGGGATGAGACATCGAGTATGACGGAGGCCAATGCCCCAGCCATCCCGCAATGTATCGACCATCGTTCCGAACCCATGCCCTCCCCAACCTCAAGAAGGCCTCGAATCTCAATATTGAGGCTCTTCGGAATGCAGGGGAGACACAGTGCCGAGGAGCTGACTCTGAAAACATCCGACCCCTCACTGGAGCTCTCCCATATTCTCCCATGTTCATGAACGCGTCTAGCGCCAATCATTTAGTCAATGTTGAGAGATAGATGAATCGTACAGGGTTCTATACTGTATTCCGTAAGTATAGGTATCACATCTTTACGGGCGTTCCTCGGTTGGTGTCTACCTCGAGTCCACGTTCTTTTTTTCTCAACAGTTGTCCAGGTGGTCTTCTTCGCATTTCTGTCCGCAGAAATTGAAGGTGCAGCTGTTGGTTACCGCATGGTGCCCGGACTTGATACATACGAGGTGCTGGTTACCCTGAGTGCATCCTTTCGTGATGCGGTGGCGCTCTTTACATTCCGACTGTTTCCGCGAATTAATTTTTACTTCTCTCTGTCGGATTCGCAAAAGCCTAGCCGTAATCATCCTTTCGGCGTTCGATCTCCCCAATGAGGGACTTCTCAGACACAGTATCAGTGTCTCGGTTGGCACTTGGCACCAGAGAATCTCGACCGAAAAGTCGCCAATCAACCCGAAGGCCGCAAGACGGAAGAGAGCTCATCACCCCCTACCTCGCCGAACCGATTAGGCACGATTCCAGCAAAAATCTCAGGACAAAGCTCCTTACGGCGTTGCAGAGCTCCATGAGAGCGTTCCCAAATTAGAACACAACGAGCACTTTTAGCAGCCATTAATGTCTTTCCTCATCGCTTGGGAAACGCGTTGAAATGATAAGAGTCTCTTGACTTCGCGAGATTGAATGGCCTCGCTGAGCCTTTAGGATCAGTTCCTCCCACGGATTCGAAAAAACCCGGAGCTGGTTTCGGGATGGGAGAACTCCGCCGAGTTTAGAATTCCTTCGTGTGATTTTCCCGGCTTTGACGGTCGTGGTACGACGGATACTGTGAGGATATTGTGAGATGACTTCCTTAGTCATTTTATCGTGATTTCCAGTGGAGACATACCCGGACTATGGTTCCATAACCTCTCCCGAGGAGGATGCACTTTCTGTACTTTTGCCCGGCTCTTCTGGAGAGACCAACGATCGAGTACAAGTCCGTGAATCTGCGCTTTCGTCCCGACGACTCCGCTCAAAGACTCGAAACTCAATCGATTCATCATTCTGACGGGAGACTACGAGGACCGCAGAAATTCGTCCATGAATAGTTTTCCCCGTGCTCGCTCAAGGGGTATTTCCCGGAAGCCTCGAAATGCTCGTTCGGCTTGCAGTCTTCCTGTTGAGCGACCGCCGAATACTTTCGAGTCTCGTGTAGGTGATCATCTAAAGCAGCAGAGCAGTCTCTGATGATCGCCTCCAAATGTAGCATTCCAAATAATCTGGTCTCGAGAGAGTAGTAAGAGGTGTACTATCACCAGTGCCCTCTAGGGTCTAGCAGAAAAATTTCCACTGCAATGCACGATACGTCAGCACATGATCACCCGGACCTCCAGAGGCAGTCCAAGGAACACCGTCGAAGATACGATTGCAAAGTCCGTTCGGGTCGAACATCGGAGGGCTCTTACCGAATTCTCTCGGTCAAAGAAAAACGTTACACAATCCCGGATCCTGTCGGTGGTAGGAGGAGGCGCGAGATCCCGATCTACTCTGGGCCAGCTCTTTTTCGAACAATTTCCGCAGCTCGCCGACGCGGTAGCAACGGTAAAATACGTTGATTGAAACACTTCTGAATTACTCGATCGGATAATCGTTGGTTAATCGTACGAGGAGGAAGACGACGACAACGACCATTGTTTAGTGGTCATCTAGCGTTGACAGGCGAATCAGTGACCCGCTTCAGACTCTCCTCTGCACTGTCCTCCACTCTACGGTATTTTCCATTACGCAATCGAGTTTACAATGAAAGCTGATTCATCGCCACTAAGGAACTGGAACGAGCGACAGAGCGAACATTCCGGCGTCGAGCACGACGGCCGTCGTGCCTGCTCCGAGCCTCGAGCGTCTGTCTCGCGTTTCAAATCGTTTTGAACTTTCTGTGACCGGCTGGAATCCCTAATCGACAGCTATGCGGGGCGTGAAGAGCGTGTTCGTTACCCCGATCAGTGGACCGGTCGGAAGATCGAAGATACACGTGGAAGGCGGCGATCTTGGATCGAGTCCCGTCGAGATCTTGGAATCGACAAGATGCATCAGAATAAACTCCCTGCACCTGGTATCTACTTGTTCGTCGATTACATAGACGACAGACGGTCGTGTCCACGTACACATGGACCGCATGAACCTCCGGTGGACGTCGTAGCGCCGCCCAGTCGATGCGCCGCCCTGTTTCGCCTCATCAAAAGCCCGCAACAGGAAGACTGTGGCGCAAACCATTGCAGTCTACTCACAGACAACCACTCCATCTGCCTCGCCTACTGCCGCCGAAGTTCTTGTTGGTTTTTTTTCCTGGAGCTGTTGAGACGCCCCCAAGGATTCCCTTCCTGATTTCTCGGTGCTTCGAGCTCGATCGGTACTTCGGAGCGGCTCCGGACGTAGAAGTTCATCGGTTGGTCGGCTCCGTTCATTATCATCACCCATCACCGGTTTATTGATTGTGTCGATTGCTCGACCTACAACAAGTGACCGCTCGCCAATGAAAACCGAGACTCTTCTCGTTGTCAGCTTGTCCTTAAGCGCCGACGTCTTGGGTGGGTTGAACACGGCGTCGAGCTTTGCTCATTCTAGATTTCCTGCTAGAGGTATCGGAGCGCGACGAATCCTGCCCACGATCTCCTCGACTCTTCGTTTGTGGAGATCTGAGGGGTCTTTCGGTCCTCCGTCGGAAATCGACGAAGTTTTTGGAACCGCATCCGGATTTCCGCAACGTAATTTTTTTCTCAGGCCTCCACGTCGGGGATGTTTCCTTCTGCTCGGATGTCGTCCGTCGCAAAGAGTGGGGAGCTCTCCATCCGAAGAGCAAGATCAACACACGGCCTGTCAGTGAGTATAGTTTCCTATGGGTTTGATAGCTTGACTCTCGATTCGGGGCGCGGAAGTTCCCAAGTGGGAGGAAACCGACGGGAATTCAGGAAGGAATGCCGGCGGGAAGAATATCGACGAGTCCGCTAACGGCGAAATCTTTCTCGCACAGGTAATGTGATCCTCCATCACAGTTTGGGTCCTACGTGCATCACAGAACCCACCTGTCGCAGTATTGTCAGAACGACTCAACTGCAACACATAAAGATAAAGGGCTGGGACGACATTGGGTGAGTTCGAATGACTTTTTCGGCCTCTAAGCTGCCTTCCGAGAGTCGGTCTCGGTCGCTGGCTCGTGCATGAATTGATTTCCAATCGCGAACTCTTCGATCTTCAGGTACAATTTCTTGGTATCTGAAAATGGTCAAGTGTTCGAAGGCCGCGGGTGGGGTGTCGAAGCAGCCGCGGTCATGGGATTGACTGATCGGGCCGTTCACATCGCGATCATTGGCAGCTTCAATCATCGAACTCCTGCCGACGCTGCCATGGTCGCTGTTTCGAGACTGATTCAGTGTGGCATGGGATTGGTAAGCGGATCTGAAGATCTTCACGTGGGAGTTTCGAGCTCTCGCAGCGAAACAATGATTCAAGGAGTCTATTTCTCTACAGGGGAAAGTTCACGAAGATTACAAGATCTCTGCGCACAGAGATGTCGAACCCACAGCTTGTCCTGGCCACAAGCTCTACGCTCTGATCCGCGGCTGGAATCGATACGTCAAAACACCTTAGAGAGTATCTCAGCATTGTCACGGGATTTTCCCTCCTTAAACGGGTCGTGCACGGAGATATGGCATCGTGAAATGTGAGACTTTTCCCACGGATGTCGAGGTGTCGAATGCGAAACTGGAGACTGGGGAATGTTCTGTAAACTCCTGTAAAAATATTTGTACACACATATCGGAAGCCAGTGTCAGGTGGGGACTTCATGCAAAATCAATAGAGTATTGGCGTCAAGATTGATGTATTTATAGAGCGTGAATGTTTACTTCGACGGGGAGCTAAAAGTTTCGAGTGTGGAAAACATCTATATGAAAGGGATTGATTCCCGTGAAAACCGTGGCCGGGTGTCGCGCTTATACTCGAAATAAAAATGCATGGCGGATCGAGGCTACGACTCCTATCTCCGGAAGTACGGTTTCGAATAAGATGACATCGATCGAGATAATTTCGGAGCTCAAGTATTATTATAGAGGCGCGGAACCACGAATTCATTGAGGTGTTGATCGGAGTGTTTCCATTGGCATGTCGATGAACTCCGGGGTTGTTGATCCCGCCCGAGGAGTTCTGCGGGAATAGTTTCCATCGGTTACTCTTCGTTCAAGAGATGTCGGAAGGAGTTCAGAGACACGAAACGAGAACAATTATTGATAGGGAATCGCGCAATGTCCGTAAGAAGACGGCGATTACATCGTCGGATTCCAAAGGTCTGGAATCGCTAGTGCGTCCGGACACTCATCCATTGTTCACGAGGGCTAAATGAGGTATGTTTTATTTTTAGAGCATGCTCACTGAATGGAATGATGAATGCAATGTTTTCGCTGGATCCTACGCACCAGAAACGACCTCGAATCAGTAAACAATCGCTGTGATCCCAGGTGCAAATTGCCCTCTGCCCAAGGGCCGGAAATCGCCTAACAGAGCCGGAAACACTTCATTGGACAACAGTCCCTTTCTCGTTCCTCTCGTCTATTTCCAAGTGTCGTCGACAGCAAGGAGCCCAGCGCGCCGAGACTTCACCATCAGTGAAGATTTGATGAACATGAAAGTCTTCCGTATCGTATCCCTACATGACGTGTATTCCCTAGACAATGGAATGGAAGCCTCCTCTATGCTTCCGACGTGTATCCCCCAGTGTTTGGATGCACGCCGACTGAGGCTTCGGGACGAATTCCATGGAAGGAAGATTCAGCAGTCACGCTCTCGAAAGGGGACGAAATCACCGATAGAGTCCGCGTACGCGTGCATTTTATTTCTCCGGCAGGCAGCGTTGTTGCTCAAAATCGATGAGCTACCCATTTCGAGAATGCTCGTCTTCAGAGCACGTTCTCTGCCGCCTCCAGCACTCGCTGGAGAAATGACGAAAAATGATCGCCATTAGAGCGATCAGGAGTCGGAAGTTTCAGATCGGAGGCCTGGGGCTCATGCACTCAAGAACAGCGGCAGCGACACAACAACAAATTGTTCCCGACGCGGCACGTTCGCAATTTTCCGGCGTCCTCTACAAAAAGAAGAGCTGAGCGCTCCAGCGGGATGTCAACAAAAAAATATCGGACGAGTCTGGAGTGAAAGAGAAAGCGACGACCGTGTCCCATACCGATAAGTTTCTTCGGAATCAGAAACCGAGAATTATCCCTGAAGCCTATTCCCGCCACAGCCCGGTCCCTCAAGCTCAAGGGTGCCGCTCCGTACTAGTTCTTGGAACGTGGTTTGGTCATCATTCACGAGCAAGAAAAGCGCTGGCCGTGCCGAGGAATCTTCCGCCTCATATACTCGATCTCTGGCCATATCCAGCTCAACCCTTTAGCTGTGTTGCTAATTTTTAAATTGGTTTAACAGATGTCCCTCTTTCAGTCGGTCGGTCGGTCGGTGGGTCGGCCAGTGGGTCGCTCGTCGTCGATGATGGCATGCTCTGCGGCATTTCATAGGAACACACCCTCTCGCTCTGAGCCCTCGTTCTCCCTGTCGTCCCAATGTCACACAACACCACACGCTCACACATACACCCTCCTCGAGCGGGGCGCTCTCTCATCCTTGGATCGGTGCTTGTCCCTTCTCATTGGCGTTGAATGCGCCTGATCTCACTGGTATCAGGATGATTATTCTTGAACAAAACACTAGAACTGATTGATTGTGGCCAGCGATTCGCTTCCAGGTCTGACTCAGTCAGCCCGTCTAATTCATTAGGGGACAGCAACGCTTACCGCATCAGCGATCGAGATGGCCGCAGCAGGTGTAAGGCTCGCGGAGCCCCGTAAATGAACTCCGTTATGTTTCACCGCTCACTCAATAACTCTATCGGATGATGTTTAAATCAGGAGTTTGTCGTCCCCGAACTGTAACACGAAATCTTCCACCTAACATCTCGGGCTTCATAGTATTGTGCACGTTATCATTTGTGCTGGACATTCCCTCCAGGGCGCCACGGGACCATTTCGTGCCGGACACCTGTTTAGGATCGCGCCTCGGGTGATCGATGTTTTGAATCGGCCGCTATTTCCCAATGGGAAGAATGCGGGTATGACGGCCCACTAAATTCCTGGACCGCTGTCATGTCGTCACGCGCAAAGTTCTCTCGCCTGCAGGAAGTCGGCAGTAACGAGAAGCAACGCCGCGAGGACTTCACCCAGGAGCTCGGTTGCTGCTCGTACTGCTGATCTTGGACCGATTGCCTGTCGTTAGCTGTCTTTGAGAAGGCTCCAGTGATCGCTCAACTTCGGTTAAGCCGACGGAGTTCGCAGCGCAACTCGGTGCTCAGATATCAAGAGTCTTGAGTCAACACCCAAACCACTCCAACAAACCCCTCAGATCACCCTTGCTTGTCAGTTAGCTGCTCGGTCTGTTGATTAGTTAGCGAGCTGCGTCGTTCAAACGGATCTGTCATGCCACTTGGAAGGAGACGCGTGTACAAATTCAGCGACTTAGCATTTCAATAAGTAGTAATGAACGAGTCTCCCGAAAGACGAATCCTTCTTTGGTCAGCCGTTCACGGACATTTTCGATTCATCCACATGTCGCTCGGCCGCGAAAATTCCGGTCAAGCGTGACATCCGGGTCGACGCGACGAGAGACCAGGCAGAATTCTTCCTTCCAAGAGCTCGTTGGAGTCCGTGATTGGGTGTGATACCATGGCACTTCACCATCGACCACCGATGGGGGATTTCGGGAGCAGAAAGAAGTCACGGGCCGCCCAGTGGAGTACGACACTATTCTATTAAGGACGCGTATTCGGCCGTGTTGTGGACTTTGGTTGTCGGTATTGAATTGACTTGCAAATCAAGTCGCGATCGCGATTCGTTCTCAGCGAGCTCTTCACTGTTTGGTCAAGTTGGACTACACATGGTTCGTCTCGAGCCACTTGGCGATAATTTAAATTCTCAACAACCTGCGAGCGAGAGCAGGAGGGAGAGAGAGCCAGTCCGCTCAGGACGAAGCGCTCATTCGACCGTTCAATAAGCAATGAAGCCAGTCGTCAGACCGAGCAGCGACCAGTTTCAATATCTCGGAGTGTGAAAGAACTCTTTGTGACTCACGCTGACATGCGGAACCGGCCCGACCGCTTGAGGATCCACACTCGCCCGGTTGCTCTCCTGGGTCATGTCCACGAGGAAGACGACGGTAGCGGCGATGAGGTCGACGACGAGAGAGAACGAGGAGAACGATGCGGACTACGTCCAGATACCGGCGGTTGTGGAGAAGCTCGAGCCTATTAAGAGCAAGGCACAAGGCTGATAGCGAAAGTACTTGAAGAGAGTGAGCTTTTCGAATCGTTCACAAACTCCTCAAGAGACCCGAAGACAACACGGGCATGCTTGGTTTTTGAATTGCTCGTGCGACGATGTACCTTCCCTAGACTTTCTACGGGTGGCCGCTGTTTCGTACGGGTAGTCGCGTGTCGATCTCGAAAACCGAGAGATGGGGTCGGAGGAGTGAGGGGGAGAAAGGCGGGGGGCTGACCGACTGTCGGCAGAACGACGGGCTGGCAGTCGAATGGCTGGCAGAACGAGAGTAAAATGAAATACACCGCTGCAAAGCGGTGGTTTGCGAGTTGTGAACTAAGTGCGAAGTGCTTTGAGAGAGCTCGGGCTGATTGCGCGAGGGGGTGTTTTCTTCTCACGACTGAACTCTTTGTGGTTCGTCCGTCCGTCCGTCTGTCTGTCTGTGTGTACGTATGTGTGAATTGGGCGCAATCTTAATTGCGATTGCGAAACCGACGGATGAAGGAAGCGACGCCTCCCAGAGAGAGATATGCCGAGAGAAAATCGGAGAAATGAGCGCTGGAATTATTTTATGAATTCATCGACTTCGATGACACCCGAGCGGATTTTGAGCTTTCTGCTCTGCCGGGGAATCTCGTCGGCCGATATCTCCTTTAGGAGCGCTTGAGGAATAAGCGCTGATCCGAACGGACGACGCTAAGCCTATGGTTTGATTTACATATTGATGACTCCTGTTGCATCGCTGCCGTTAGTTATTAGATCGTAATTCATTTTCTCACAGTTTTGTTGTCGATTATAATTGAGTTCAGCTCAGCAATAGAGGCTCGCCGACTGGTTTAGCCCCCGTGTCCTCCCCCTCGTCGGACCCCTACCTCCAACTCATTGCCAAACCAAACCCTAACCATTAGTTAAGACCACGACCGCTGTTAGGGTTGGAAGAGGCGTGAACTGGAGAGCAACTACCCGCAGAGTCTCGTGGGAGAGTTTGCTCCTCAAACGCGTTCGGCGCTTGACTTGTAGAGTTAAGTTGGTTTTTTTTCGAACGACGAGACCGTGTTGACGACTCATTCCCACCAGACGAGTGTCGATTCGTGGTTAGCTACGGATGACGATGATGCCTCATCGACATGACAGGGTGAGTGTAAAGTTGCAACATTGATCACCCCCGCGTTTTGCACGCACGACTCAGGCAAGAATTAAAGCTTCCGGAAAAGCACAGCAAAACCCGGAGCCTGAGTCTTTCCGAACTTCCACTAATTCGGAATGGCGACAGAAATGTCGTGGGCAGGGGGCACACGGTGGATACGCCGAACGATCACGCTCCGGCGCACTCGGGACCTGGAGCTCGGGAGGGGCGCAATGTTCGACCTGAAACTTAAAACTCCGCGTGCGGATAATTCATCCCGATGTACTATACCCCATTCGCTTCTTTCAGCCTCAGTAGAGAAAGTGACCATATGTGGTGAAGGCGATGACGCTGCCGAACGGCCAAGCTGATTTCCTCGAAACATTCGAAAAGACGGACGTTCAATCGAGCACACGCGATTCGAATTTATTTCTCAGATCGACCT